AATTTAATAAGATGAATTTCACAAAAGCCGAGAAGTAGTCCAGCACATAACCACAACTATAGACAGAGCCAGGCTAGCCGTTTCCCCCTGCCTTCAGTCTTTATGCTAAGCTAACCATCTCCTGGCTGTAGCTTATTTCCCAAAATGTCAAAACTGTTCCTTTAACTCTCTTTTGGAAGCTTGCAAAGTTTACAAAGTCCTTTAAGTTATGATTTGTGTTGATTGATTATGCCCCACAGTTGAATGAGCCTGCGTTTGTCTCCTTGTTTTGTGAATATCTGGTCAAGTGTGTTATGTTTTAGCACAGAATCAAATCAGATCACATCATGTGCTGACACGATAAGAAAACTAACACTGATACATAAAACACTGCAGCTGCTATAAAAGATAAAAAGGTTGATATCAGACATCAAACGAGCAGTAAATAATTTAACACACCAGTGTGGGTCCAGACCCTAATTAAACCTGTAACACAAGTCAAACACACAGTTTCAGCTACAGGTATTTTAACCACCACTACTACTACTCAATGAATCTAAGATCACTGTACGAAAATATATTGATCCAGTTTCATATCCTGTTTAAATTAAGAAAAACATCTAAGGGTTTATGTGGTCAGCTCACTATTTATGAATACAGATACATATGAGAATATGATGTATAGTATACTCTATATAAACAGACAGCCATCTCCTCTGAGCTTATAGCCCCACCCATTCAAAATGTTCTAGACAGGCCCTGAAAGGATTATGGTGCAAAAGCTCTTAACTTAAATAAATCCTACTTTCTTCACAGAATATAGCACTTAGCTCATGCCCCAGTAGTACTTCCTGAGATATCCAGTTTTTAGGGGTTACAGGGATTCAGAGATGGTTCCCACACACCCTCCCAATTCTGCAGTTTGTTGCCTGAGCACTGACATCAGCAGTGAGAGTGCATGAGTGTATTTAAGTGTTGTGACTGTACCCGTCATTAAAACTCAGCTGGCTACAGTCACTATAAGGGGGCTTGGAAGTAAGCTCTGGACCCAGCAGGCGAGTCACGTAACGATCCTGAACATCTGTGTGAAGGGAGTAAGGATTAAACACAAGCTATGAAAGCTGTGAGACACACACACATGCTCATACTGCAAACACTCATACGTGTGTTGATGAACCTGTTGTGGTCCTCGACTGTGAAAGCTGATTTTTATGCTCTTTGAATAATCAGGTTGGAAGATGGAAATTGCCTGTGGCAACGGTGGGAGTGACGGCATCAGCAGCTGCGCTCAGGCACATGTCACCTCCTCCAGAAACAAGTTACGTCTCAGGTACTGTAAGTCACCCTGACCACCCCGAGGGGACAGGTCCCTTCAGTAAATGATCATGACCCAGGCAACATCATTAGGCAGCTGCTGTGTGGCAACGGCTCCTTGGCAGAGTGATAAGCAGAAACACTCCACTGGGAAATGCTTACAGTGCACTTAGAGGTGACAGGGATAATATGGGCCGTGCACTTGTTATTCTCAACAGAGCTGTGCATCATTTGTGCGCTTCAGCTATAAATAAAGATTTTTCACAAACAAAGATATGGACTGTAGATGAGGCGCTGAGCTGCAGTCGTCCTGAGTTTAATGATTTATAATTGACCGTTTGCTACACCCCTCCCCTGAGCACCAACTATCCAGTCATAGCTCAGCTTTGGACTTCTCTACATCTGGCTCTGAGAGTAAGAGTAATATTCGGAGTATAAAGAGTTTGCAGGGTGTTGACTTTTTACTGTAGCTTTTCAAAACCCATAAGATCAAAAGTGTTAGGGAGTGAATAGTCAGCAGGGAAAGTCTGCTCTAATACAACAATGCAAAAATTAGCATAAAGATAACAGCGTGTCTTCACAGAAAACACTTCAGCCACATTTTCAGTCATCTGATGGAACAGATACTACTTCTATTTTGATCAATCAAGGTCTATTTTCCTGTGTTTTATTTGAGTAACCACAGTGATTGTGTATTGGGCTATGCACAGTTCTGTAAACAATCTTCATTGCCACTGGATGTCACACTAGACCACCAGCATCTCAGATCAAAACAAATGCTTTGTCAGCCAACTGAACACACAACAATTAAACGCACAACAATAAGCACAACTCAATACCCTGTGAACAAGACAGCCAACAAAAAACATCCTAGCCACAACCTGCTGCTCCACAGCTCTGGCAGTTAGCTAGCAAGCAATAGCAACATCTGCCAAACTAATTCACAACAATGGTAACAGCAAGTTAGCTAACATTATCATGACTACTGTGCCAGTCACTTATGAAAACAGACATGTAACATTATATAGCCATGAAGGTTACTTACACATCCAGGTGAAAAGCTTTATCCTTGGCAGCTCTTTAGCAGATCCTAGGGTTCTCCATCTTGGTAAAACCAGACTAGCATTGGTTCCATGGTCAGACTGGGAGAGAAATTCAGCCTTGGACTTGTTCACAGGGTCCGGGACACAGGAATGACACGTCATCATATTGCATCCACACTGCAATAAAAAAAAAAAAAAGTTTATTTCTTCAACTGTCTTTTAACATGGCTTGTTAGGGTGCTAGCATCAGTCTTTTAGCATCGTATCATATCATGTATGTTTAAATATTTGACACTTTGACTAGGGTTCTTGTTTCATGATGTCAGCTTGAAACAGTTAAAAAAAAGAAAAAGAAAAATGGAGACAGTGTTTTCAACCAACACAAAGATAACCAGATTTGCTGAAATAAAAACCGTTGCCATTTCCAGTTAGGTGGAAAATATATCACATACGGTTAAAATGGCTTCCCCCTACCTTTGAGACAATCTTGAAGTCCGATCGTCTGTCTTTTCCTCGATTGTTTTTATTCCCTTAATCCTGAAGGGTCCACCGATCAAATGAATCAAACGGGTTTTCCATTAAAAAAAAATATTCCAAGTTGTAAATATTGTCAAGTGAAGTCCATTTCAGACCGTCAAGCGTCGTCTTCTTCTTCTTCACTTCGTCCAACATGAAAACAATTTCTTCAAGTTCCGGGTGGGGGGGGGTAACTTCCCGCTTATAAACTCCTAACCAATGAATGAGCAAGATTTCCCTTTCTCTGCCTAGAGACAACAACAACAAAATAAAATAAAAACCTGATTGGATAACTCTATTCTTGATGTTTTTAGGAGGATTTGTGAAGCTATAGCTATAGCTAGCAGCTAGCCCTCTCTGTTGGCCAAATCAAGCGTAACGCTAGACACCTGCCTGTCTGCTGATGCTGCACGTGTCTCTTTCCGGTTTTTAACTGACAGCTCACAAACTGCGGACATTTCCGGGGACAGGCCACCGAAAACAGGGGACGTCTGGTCACCCGGTTGCTTGATTAGCTTAGCTAACTATCCGAGAGCTTAGCTAGCTGGTGTATGCACACGACCCGTGATAATCACTAACAGAGAGTTAAATGTTACAAACCCCAAAGTACAATAAAATGTACATGATATTCTGAGTTTTTTCCATTTTGCTGATCAAAATAATGAAGTTTTAATGCTTAGTTCAGATAAACGTTGTTTACTTTTTACTTGTTATTTTTCAGAAATGGGGTGTATTTTTTACTCTAATTTGTTATCCCCGTACCTTATTTCCCACTGGCTTTCTCTGCAGGAGTGTGTGTGTGTGCTTTTGATGATTTTTGATGCAGGAGAATCTGTAACAGCTTTGATGGGCAGCAAACATCTTCGCATGAAGTCATTTTCACACAGCCCTGAAGAAAAGTTTTCTCAAAATGTCAGGTCATTCAGAGGAAAACAACAGCAACAAGCTCCATCTCTCTGACAAGTTAACAAGCGGCTATTAAACCCAGTTGAACCGTCGACGTGAAATCGCAGCACCAGAAATAGTGAGACGGGGCTGTGAGAAATTATCTAACTGCTGATGATTGGGGGGGAAAACACACACATACAAAAGCGAGCGGTCTTCTGATGGGATGTGATATCTGAAAAGGGCAAATGCACCAACAATTTGTGTGTTTGAGGTTTTTGTTTTTTGTTTTTTGAATGGCAGAAAACAGATTGACTTTAGCAGCTGCAGCCATCTATCAGCCATAATGGAGGGAAAAAAAAAATGCATTTCTAATAGGATCTGCAAAGACTCAAAGCTAATCAGCCATTTCTCATCTTGAGTGGCACAAACTGAGCTCAGAACAACCTTGAAATACAAGCCCTAAGCATTAACTAGAATAACCATCTTACCTTGACCCTACAGGCCACCCCAAACCGTTAAATACCTCCCGTGTGAGTCAGAGATGAGATGATTACTATCTTGCCTTAATTTGCCATTTCAACATAAGACAGGCGTCAGAACTAGCAGCAAAGTGTAATTGACCTTGTCTGGTGCACAAGATTGTTGGTTCTCTGTAAGAAAAGAGACAGCAGCCCTCCTTCATTTGCCACACGATGAAACTCATTCTCAGAATATATGGCGAGGTAATTGAGCGATGAATTACTTTTTGCATCAGCACCACTCAATGACACTGATTCTGATGTAGTAATATATTATCTCCCCCTTTGTGGTAATTTATCCCTGAAATGACATCCAATGGAAAATGAACGTTCCCCTCCTTTGTCAAACCTGAAAACAGCCAATCAAACTTCCCAACAGCAACACATTGCCTGCTGCCCCCCCCCATCAGTGTGAGGGCCAGGCTTCAGGAAGTATATTGTGACAATGTGCTTTTTCATTACGTAAAGTCACGTTTCTCAGTTTGACTTGAGAGCCCTGTCATTCCCTAAAGAGAAGAAATAAATGAGTTTCAAATCAAGCAATGCAATCAGCCGCGGTTAAACCTAGATCTCCAAAAATATGATTATCTCTCCCATAATTGAGTAGACACCTCTACCTAAAATCGGACTGGCAGAAAAGAAAAAAAAAAAAACATTTATACGAGTGATAACTGGAGATAGATGAAGAACTAGATGTCACAATGGAAGAGAGGTATATCAGACATGACAAAAGATACCAGTCAACAAGAAAAAAAGAGGACAATCTTTATTTCAATCTTTCAAACCTGTAATAAAGTGTGACACTCTCAATTCAAACCCAAAGAGGAAGTTTGGCAGAGAATGATAGGCAACTACAAAGACCAGAAGGCAAGACGAGGGCATGGTTTCCTTTAGTGCAGTTTCACAGTAATAATACAGATAACCTCTGTATATATAAAAAAAAACAAAACAAAAAAAAAAAACAGGTGTGCTTAGGTTGAGGTGCCTAAGTCAATCAAGATACAAGATATACCGAGCTGCAAAAGCACAATGAAATGAGTAACAATGAAAAACGAAACCTGAAACCATCTTATTCCTCGGCTACACTTTGTAAAAAGGTTATAGAACTGGGGTAAGGATTAGGGATTGCTTTTACTCAAATATATAATAAACAGCTCAAAACATTCATAACCATTTGAAAATTATCTTAACTCGAGGTCTGCTTAGTCGTCTGCTCAGCTGTCACTACTTGACGTGTGGTTGAAAGCTCAGGAAAAAGCTAAGAAGTCAACCTCTTGAGTCAGGATTACTCTGTTAACTGTTCCCAAGGTCAAGAATGAACTTTGACGCTCATTCATCACCATGTATTGATAGTTCCCTTGATACATATCCTCTTTTACTCTTTTCAAGCGTATACTTAACTTCGGAGCTCTGTACATTAAATATATGGAAGATCGCCACCACTCTCATGTCTGCAGTTTTCATGAAACTAGAGCGAGCAGCCAATCAGCTGATGGTCACTTGCCGAGAGCTTCAGTCATCATTGCGTTAACAATACAAGAGCGTATAAAACGCCCTCTGAGCAGCGCTTCTTCTTCAGGGCAGACGGGATGCCACAGTGACTCGGTATCGGAAAGTGATGAGATGGCACGGGGCTAGCTGGTTAGCATGCCAACTTCAGCAGAAGAAGCGATCAAACTAGAAGCTAAACAAGAGATGACATTGGCGTTGCTTTCCACCGCTAGAGGTGAATAAAGGAATGAAATTTGACACTGAACTTGCAACGTTTCTCCTAGACCGATAAGTAAACAGCTGTTAATGCTAATGCTAGCTTTGGTAGCGATAGCAGAACGTACAATAGCTCCTTTAATCTGTACAAAAACTAAAGAGGAAACTGGCTTCTTATTTGCCATGCAGACATGAGAGTGGCATTAACTTTATCATCTAATTCTCAGCAAGTGAATAAGCGTATTTCCCACAATTGCTTTAAATTAAATCAGTGTTTGGACAGTGCTCCTCTCAACAGTTCGTATTGATGGAAAAAAAAGGCAATATCAAGTATTCCCATGCACCAATCAAGGGCAAAATCTAACCACGGCTGTTGGGAAATTGGCTTTCGTTGCTACGGAAATGCCAATGTCAATCAAATCTGATAATTTAACACAAGATATTTAATTTTACACATTAGACTATAAAGATAATAAAAACATGTTTTCAGGTGCTTTAAGTTGCCGGAGCTGCCACTGAAGCACCACTGGCCCCAAATCCAACTGTGCGTTTTTCATCAAAATGGTATCAAGCTCGCTGTAGCAGATATTAGGAACACTTTTTTCTTTTTCTTTTTTTTCATGAAATAAGCGGCCAGGTAAATTGAAGAGAAAGCAATAACCCTTACTTGATTTCTGCTATTACATACACTTTGGTCACGAGGGTATGAAAATAGGATAGGGAAGGATTTCTAAGCCTGTAGCCGACTGACAATAGTGGTACTGTAACAAAAAAAGGGGCAGAACTCAGGAGTAGGAAGACAGTCCTAATATTTTGTGTGCTTAGTATATGTCTCAGTGCATCAGGATGTAAACGTCAACCTGCCAACTGAATTCAATATAGAAACCAGTGATGGAGGACAGACTGAAATATGGAAACAGACAGAGTCAGTCTATCTGAGGAATATGAGTTGTTAAGAGCAGCAGGAGCTACTGATGCATGTTATAGGAGTCTGCTGTATAGGTACAACCCATCTATAAATAAGAATCTTTCGCAGGTTGGTCATGTTGGGTTGAAATGGGTAAAAAAAAAAAAATAATAAGAAAGAAAAGTGCATTTGCCATATTCCAGTACCAGACAGACTGATACCAATTACCATTCCAGCTTTTTCCCCCCCCCATCAGCTGTCGCCATAAATGGACACTAACAGGTGGCTGGCGTGAGAAATAAGTTGAAATGCGTGACTGTCTTGACACTTTGCACCCCTAAAGAGAAAGAAGAGGAAATATTTTTTCAGGCAATATCGGACAATAGAAAAAAAAAGAAAAGAAAAAAAAAAAAGCACAATTCATTTATGGCAGATTTTCCTTCTTGGGCACTTCCCTATGCTTTCTACACACATCAATCACTATACATGATGAGCCTACACTTTGGGTTGGGTGGGGCAGAGGTATACAAAATCTCTCAGTGTATTTATGTTCTATTCGATTTGAAGGCAAGAGTCATCGGTTTCTACTACTGTAGGATATTATAGTAAAGTAGACTAAAATAAAAACCAGAAGAGAGCGGGATGTGACAATAAAAAGAAGATACAGTGAGGGCGTTAAAGTGGTTTCAAAACAACGACCTAACGATGTCAGAGAAAGGGTCACACGTCACATGGAATAGACCACTGGTTGGTTGAATCATAATAAATAAGTGTGTATGTTTGGTTCACAGCCATCCCTTCTTCTCGTAACATGGTCGAGGTTAGTGACTAGAGGCGACAGGTACTCGACTTTTTAATGTTTAATAATCTACTTCCTGTCTTTCTCGTTGATTTTGTTTCGTGATATTTATTGTAACTTAATGTTTCTACGCTACGTTTTTATTCATTATTAATCTTTCGTTATTCCATCGCTCTGTGAAGCAACTTTGTAACTTCTTCTTGTTGTAACTTTGTTTTGAAAAGTGCGATACAAATAAAGTTATTATCCCGTGTTTACACTCCGTCACTGGAAAGGCTGTTAGTTTTAAACGTGATTCGATGGCTTCACTGAGCAGCTGACCTTACACTCAACTCGTAGATAGGAGAGTCTGTGCTAGAGGGGCTTTGATGGGAAGTGAGATGAAAACCAAAGCAGAACAGTAATACATTGATATGTCTTTGAGTTTCATTTCACTGCATTTGACTAGGCCTATCATCCTCTATGTGGAGCCCCTGCGTTAATCTGTTTTCTTCTCCCCAGGATTCTTCTCTCCAGCGTCCTCTTCCTCGTTCTCTCCCTCTTCGGGGCCCTCCAGCTCAGCGGCGCGTTGCCTCTCCTCCTCCTCTTCCTCCTCTTCGTCAGTCAGGCCCTCCCTCTTGAGCGCATCTATGTCATCCGAACCGTCATCTGACTCAGCTGTGCAGATGCCGTAGCACATCAGGCTAATTACACCCAGCGGTAGGCCGAACAGGAAGCAGCCCAGCAGTGGAGAGCTGCGAAACACTGACTGATGTTGGAAAGGAAAAGATGAAAGGAAGACAAAAAAAGGGGACGAGGGAGGGAGGGAGGGAGGGAGGGAGGGAGAGTACGGTGACAAAAGTAAAGTTTGACAGAGAAGAAGAACAATAGAAAAACAGAGAGAAAGGACGATAGTGAGGACAATATACAAGCTTTCTTTTTACTGTGCAAACAATGTAAATATATTGACATTCTGAAATTAAAAGCGTTTTCACTTGCAAACTCAGGATCTGGTCTTATTCCAGGCAAGATTCCTGACCTGCAGCTCCCCCGGTGGAGTCACTGTGTGCTAATTTGATAAAATGCTAATTTGCTCGACAGTCCAATCAACTTAAGTGTGCACAGTGTCGTGATAAGGGTCAGAAGGCAGTTCCAGCATTTAAACTTAGGGAACTACTTCACACCGGGTTGAAGTGTGCTCGGCGCACTGACGCACCCTGGAGGACGTACAAGTGTTACCTCATTAATACTTTGTTTGGCGGTCCACACTCGTCACTAGCTACATCTCCAGGTTCTTTAGCAATTCGATTCAATTTTTCTTTTTTTATCCCAACAAAGCTATGTTTTCTCGAGATAGGATACTTAATTACTCCGAGAAACAAAGCTTTGTTATCTCGAAATAACGGGATGAAAAAATATTTCCGAGTATGGCCTTTGCAGAAAGATACGTCTGAAGACATCTGTGTGAAGTTATTGTTTCCCTCTTCAATAACTTCACACAACAACAAGGAGCTGACATATGAATACAATGTGAAGCTGAATCAGTGAAGAAAAACAAAATGTAATGTAATGTTCGCCGCTAAGTGTCTGGCGCTCTGGGCAGAATCTAATGAAGGCGCCATGTGTAGTTTGCCATGTGCACTGTAAATGATGAGTGCTTAGAGGAAACGAGAAGCACAGACAGTGGCCCACAGCTCTAATGAGTCAACCCAACCCTGACCTTATTTCTTAAGTTCACTCATTAATCAACAAAATGCCCTAATAATGAATCTCAATGTCTTTTATTCCACTAAGCCTGTTCAGTATAACAGAGCGGTCCTGGAGTGAGTTTCTGACTATTTACTAATAAGTGGAATAAGCGTTACATCTCTCTCAAACAGCCGGTGTTTGCAGTAGTAAAAAGCCTCCCATTAGCCATTATGTAGACTGAATTGAAAATCCTGTTTGGAGGGCAGATCAAAAAAATGTTTGTGTGGAGAAAACGCAGACAGGCTTTTATGTTTTTAGCGGATGTACTGCATTTTTATTCATTCATTTATTCATTCATTTGCATTACGCCATTAAGCTTAGCGACTGTGTTTAGAAGGCAGGTCACAAATCATTTGCAGAAACAGGGGCACGCTGTAACATCGTAGCATTAATTAAATTTATGTCGTGTAATTTTAGAAAGTCTGTATTATGTTATACTGTTTGTGTTCTCTCTTGTACTCTGCTGTCATGTTTGTTTTTCCTTTTGTTTTACGCTGATGACCAGATTGGAGAGGTTTACTCTTTTATGTGCAATCCTTTGGGTCTCTTGTTCTGTTACATCGTGGAGTTTGAAGTGAAATAAATAAAGAACTCTCGCACTTCAAACACAAGCAAAAGGTCCACCTTTATACACCAGTCTGTCTGAAGATATTTTCTGCATCATATTTCCATCGCCACCCATGACCAAAAATGATCACACTGTAACTCCACTGCATGTTTTACCTACATTTATGCACACACATACTTTAAAGTTCCCCTCCAGACATGTTTTAAACTATGTAAAAATGTTCAGCTATGATTAATATTTTGTTTAAAATGGTTTTCCCCACATATAAAGTGAAAAAGAATAATAAAAAACTGGGGCTGGAAGCACATCTACGCTTCTGGATCAGGCCTTATGCCCCGCCCACCACCACTGCCTGCGCTAGGTTGACCGGTGAAAGAGCAGTGCGTATTAAGATGGTTAGCGGAGGAAACATCGGAGCGACTTGGGGAGTTTGTTGTGACTAAAATCAGCAACTAGAAGACGTTTTATTTGTTTATGCTGTTTGTTAGCTTGTAACTGGCAGCGGTTGACACAGTGTTAGCGGTTGTGCTAATGCAAACTCTCGTTATCTGTACTGACAAGGTTTCGGGTTTATTTAGCCCCGCCCCTTGTCTCCACAAGTTGACAGGATTGGTTCCTTAGTTTTGTGATGTATGAATCCCTGCGTGTCTGAATCCGTTTTTATGAGACTGTCATTGAAGTCCAAGGTTGACTGCTTATGTCTTGTATTATATAAAAAAACATCATATGGATGTTAACAAGATTAAAAACCTCTTTACATGTTTCTTGATAGTGAATCACTGGTACCTCACTACATGTTAATTGTCACTTCATCTATTTACTATTATTATCTATTTTTATATTGTGAATTTAACTCTCTGTGGAGCCAGTCTTTGCCGTGATAAAGACACCTCTCATTCACATCAATGTCCTGAACCTCCACATGAAATTGAACAATTTTATGACATGAACCGGTCCGATTGCTGCAAAACCCACACTCCCTCATTTCCTGTGGGTTCAACAGCAGCCGAGTGACTGAAGAACAACTTCATAAGATCTTCCTAAAATGAGCTTGGTGACAAAGGACTCGTCTGGCCTTAATATAGCAGGATCCATCAGAGACAATGCACCTAGAAGGGAGTATTCTGTCACAACGTCTGTCAGCCATTGAGCTGAGGAGACAAGAAATATTCACATTCCCTCCAGTCACTGCCACTGGAAGAGGGATGGTAATTGCCGGTGCTCGGTGACGCTAGATGAGGTAGAGATGGGTATGCTATGCTAACACAGCTGGCTGTGAGTCATTGGGCCTAATGTGGCTGCTTCCTCATGCTCCTGTCAGACTTGCATTTAGATCGTCTCTCCAGGGGCAAGGTGATGGCCGCTGCCTATCTGCTCTGTTTCATATCATGTCACTGTGAGCGGGACTGGCCACGATGATGCCTGCAGCTCGCTAAATTTAGGAACACAAGAGGAGAACGGCATTTTCTTCACACATGGATACTTACGTTTGTGCAGCTGCAAATAACAGATTAATGTTTTTAAATCCTGCGCACTTTTTAACAGCTTAATTTGTTTGTTTTTTTTGATTAAAACCATCACCTATGTCTGACAGGTGTTATTCCAACTGTCAAACCTGACAGCAAAAGCATTAAAACATCAATAAAAAATATTTCTAAAAGCTTTTTTTTTTTTGTGCTTTGAGGTTAAGCCACTTTACTTTCTATGTCAGCTTATTTCTAAATTTTCTTTTGGGAGTTCTCTACATCCCCTTAAGGACAGTGTTCAGGGCAGGGTTAAGCCTTACCCGTGTTTACAGTACAACTGTGTCAACTGAGGAGCACTACAACGCAGCTGTATTTACATTCCTATCAAACCATTGCTAAAACAAACACCAGTTCTCCCAAAAGAACCGACTACTTTAGAGTAAAAGTGGGAGGAAAAACGAGTTCGGCCTCCTGACCCACCTTCTCCGACTCTGCTGCCCGTTACTCTGTCCCACACTGTTTCTGCCTGCGTTGCATATTCTCACTTGTACGTCTAGTCTAGTCCTCTGAATGCTGCTATTCTCCCAGCGGGAACATGAAGGGCACTCGGGCATTCATCCTACACTGTTACAGAACTTGGAGCAGGTTGCACACACACACATATATATATATATAGTATTTACCTTTAATGGCAAACACGGTCAAGGTGAGGCGTGTAATAACGAATGGTTTAATTACAGAGGTAAAGAGAAACGTGTATTTCAGCTGAGCTGCAGCAAAGCTATCTTAGCTTGGTAGCAGTAGGTCAGTGGTGACAGACCCACAGAGAGACGAGCGTTGTTCAGCCAACAACAGACCAAGTGGTGTCTCCACAGTAGTGGAGCATTTAGCAGCTAAAGACCCAGATATCTCCCTCGGCAGCTGGTGGGGAACAACACGGAACTAAAAGTTGTGTGAATATTGAGCTAAAATTCATCAGGTAGCCAGAAATGCAACTTCATATTAATGCTAATGTTGCTACATGTCCGCTGGAAGTTTCCTGTATCAGCTTTATTAAGGTTTATGTGAGTATTATGTTTACAGCTTGTTGTGCTGCTCCTAAGTGGCCAAACTAATCTATTAATCCAGGTGGAGGAGCTATTTGTAAGTTGAGCTTTTGCTACATAGCTAACGTTAGCATTAGCAGCTGTTCAATTACCAATCTAGAAGAAACGTTGCAAGTTCAGCATCGAACTTTATTCATTTACTCACCAAGAGGTAGAAAAGCAAACCCTCTTGTTTTGCTTCTATTTCGATCACTTTTTTTCTTCTACTGAAGTTAGCATGCTAACTTGCTATTTCCAGTCCGGCCAAACCGCCTCGTCACTTTCCGATACCGAGTCACTGTAGCGCCCAGGCTGCCCTGAAGAGGTAGCGCTGCTCAGATGACGTAGTGTGACCTCTTGTTTTTTTTAAATACAACAATGGCTGAAGCTCTTGGCAAGACTGCTAAGTTAACAGCTGTTGCTAACACTGGCTATGTAGCAATAGCAAAACTTACAAGTAGCTCCTTAAAGTAAAGCTTCAGTACCATATCTACTTAAAAAATAACTAAAACTGAATATATCTGAAGTGGTTTTTGGAGCTTTATTTTAAGTGCGCACTGCGATGATGATGATGATGATGATATCCTGCAGACCGACTTGTTTTCAACTATTTTGTTTATTAATATATTATAAATATGATTATTCATTGTTAAATGGTTTAGATTTAACCTCGTGTGCATTTCATTTAAGCACTTACGTTTGAGCATTTGGAACCTGGAGCTTCGTAAACCCTTAGGAAATACTCTCTAGTAGTGTCTACATGTAGCAGCCCAGAAGGAACCCTCTGCAACTTACCATAATGGTGGATCTGGCATCAAAGGCCACACGTTTGATCCTCTGAATGATGCCATCGCCTCCATATGCCTGCAGGGAGAGAGATCATGGAATGGAAACACAGCTATTTCTATTTCTAGCCCATCCCAATTTTTATATTCACCACCTATGTAGCACAGAGGCAGGGTTTCATCCATTCTTAAGTTTGGCATCTACAATGTGATGCAATTACTTGGGGACAATCCGCAAACAAAATAAATTGTCAACATGTCAATAAAATCTTCTCCGACTGCTCACACAGTACCCACACTGAATAATATAGTGTCAGGTGCCCAGTTATACGCTCACTAACATCCCAGACATTTAAAATATTGTTTCATTAACCGCTTCCCTGCACAAAATTATCTGATGTGCTCGACTCCGGTTTGTTCACTGTCCAGCGGTTCTGCTCCGTCTGAGCTCATTTGCTGGCAGAAGCACCTGGGCAGTCAATGAGTGATCTGTCCTGATGCTAATTCATCAGGATGGCCAATTAGTGAGCTCTGACTAAGCAGGACTTTGTGCGAAAGGAGCTGAAGGTGGGCATGAGATAATTTTCGTGGAAGCAGCTGTTGCACAGGCCTGCGCCGTGCGAGGACTGCATAAGTAGTTTGAGAAGTTTTTTTAGAAACATTTTCAAAGCATGTTGCTGGAGTTCTTTCTTAATTGCAAACAGGCAAGAAGACGGAGGACTTAAAAAAAATTGTAGTTGGTCTATGTAACACAAGAGCAGAGAGTAGGGATTTTAAAAAAAAAACAAAAAAAACGGTTCCCTAAAAATCTGCTAGAGCGATGCCACAGTCTGTCAACTCTGCCATCCTCTGGCTGGTTCATGCTTCATGCGTGGCTAAACACGTCGTCTGTGTACCTTAGTTATGAAATACACTCAAAAATTCTACAACTTTGCTCATGACTAGGGAAAAATTCAAACCCTTAAAGTCTAACACTATTATAACTTTTTTTTTTTTTTTTTTTTTGCAGAGTTTGCATTATCTTAAAATTAAATTTAATGCATTTATCACACATTATTCTGTGTTTCTACACGGAGCACAAACCAGCCTCGAGGCACCTCTTGGCAGACATTAGCAGCATGACGTGAAGAGGATGAAACTGTCCTGAGTTTTGGCTGCAGGGAACATGGAGGTTTCTGTTGCTGTTTATTTGGTGGGAGGTGGTTTGTTTTGCCAAGCAGAAAATAGCCAAGACCTTTCCTGGAAAAAAAAAAAGAAAAAGAAAAGGACAGGACCTCTGGCTGTTTGGCTTATGGTTTCATACATCTGGTGACGTTAAGTGTAGCGCAGGGGAAGCGATGACATTTCTTTTCCAGATTAGTGTGCATACTACAGTACAGGGTCATGTAGTAATCTCGGTGTTTTACTTAGAAGATGGAATTATTGTGGATAATCTGTTCAGGGGGGACGGCAATATGAAATCTAAACATGTAAAAGGAGATTGGAAATATACCTCATCTGGGGAAAATATTTTCCACAGGGGACTTAAAATGCAAAGCAACATGCTTGATTAATGAGGACTACTGGTGTGATTACAATGGTACAACCCCAGGGAAGGGGGAGGGAGAGGGGGGGGTGTCCACCGAGCTGAATGCCTAAACAGGAAGTAGGAGAGGGACGGGGAGGGAGGGAAGAGGAGAAGATCTGGACCTGTGCAGAGCCTTTCAAAACGCTGCTGATGAATTGGACCAGCTGCTCCAGGGTGTCCGTCGGCTCGCTGGGCAGGAAGTACTGCTCGTTGGATGTGTTGAGGATGACGACAGAGGGCACCGCCACCTCGCTGAGGGACAGGGAAAAACAGGAAACGCAGCTTTTAATCTTCTCAACCTCAGCGCTGGCTTGGCTCGCCGTTATCAAAGCGCATCATTAGATGGGAACAAATTGTGGTTTCTTAAAGAACAAATGGTAACACAATAGTGAGATAAACAAACCCCTCTGTGCTCAGAGCAACCTAACTTTTCCCATGGGTGTTCTTTCAAAGAAGGGATTTTTTTCAAAAGGGAAAAAAGGCAACGCAGCCTGGCCTATTTCAGAGTGGCATTTCCTCTATCTTTTATGCAAACAGTGTGCTACTCAGGGGCTTTATGGGTCTGTGCCGGTCACATTTAAAGAGACCTTTACAAATTACAGCTGACAAGTGAAACGCAGGGGGTCCAGGGGAAAAGCAACTCTGCATCAATGCTGAGACACATACAAAACATATACAAAGACACCCAGTGGTCCAGTGAGCATTTGAACAGAAAATACAGAGGCGGAGGCGTAACACACCGTTCCATCTCCGGCCCACTTATTTTGACAAATCAGCGGAGGAATTACAAAACTCTGAGATAACAAACAAGGTCAAATAAACAATCCCTCTTTCACATGTTTTGCACAACACCAAAGTGTGGCTTAGATAAGGTATCCTAGTGCTCGGACACACACACACACACACAGGTGCACACAAACAGTCCATCATGCCGCCGCCGCCACCTCACATCCCCGCCGTGTGACTCAACGCGGCAACAAATTGCACACCCATGCACACGTATCCATCACTGTCCCAGTCCACCACCCAGCTGAGATCAGGAGTGCAAACACACAACATCTCGCCACTCTTTCCAGCTGAGATTCGCAATTACATGTGTACACACACACACTCGTTATGAATGTGTATCTCCATCTGACATTCAGCCTATTCCAACAGATGGCACCCATTTAAAATAAATATGGATTAGCCTATTCACCTCTGTGTGCGAGGGACTGCTGGGGGTTTGCTGCCCATAATGAAGGGCTATATACTGTACTCTATAGAATTACAACTGGCAGAAGGCACGCATTTTGTTCCCTTTCCGCTGCCGAAAAACAGCTGCCATATAATTAGGGCTGATATTTTTTTTTTATATTAAAAGCATGCAGAAACTTTATCCAAGCCTAGTTTGGCATTGGCCTAAAATATCATTTTCATATTTGATGTGATTAAAACTTGGACGTCCTCCAAAAGAGGTAAAAGCAACAGTTCAGAGGGGTGGAAACATTTATCCTTCTTACCTGTAATTGTAAATATTACATAGAATATATTTCCCATATTCATGCCTGGATCTTCTATGATTTCAGACACCCCTGAAGTGGACCGTACCATTTTCTAAACCATGACATTCTCTGCTCCCGCGCATCACGCAGGCAAATTGAGACAATGAAGGTAAATGTTAGTAGCAGTAGCTAACTATCTAGCTTGTTTGATACACTTTACCTTCTTAGCTTCAGAGTTACTGATTTAGAAAATTGTCAACAGATGAATGCTAATGTTAGCTAGTTACTAATTTTACCTTGAAGTTACCGTTTAGCTAGTTTCTAACTTTAGATTTATTTTACCGTTTAGCTAATTAATGTTAGCTAGTTTCTCACTTTAGCCTTAAGCTACAGTTAAGCTAACTAGTGTTAGCTAGCTGTGGTGGTTTAGTTTTACCTTTTTGATATTGGCTTCTATAATAGTCACCCTCTTTATTTTCTCTCAGGAATTCAAGTATAATTTTGAGGTACTTGTACTTAACTTAAATATTGTTCTTTCTACTCCACTACATATATTTGACAGCTTTAATCAGCTGTAATCTTTTATAAAAACAATCAGTAGTTTATCTGTTTGGTGTTTTTCAGTTTGGCTGGTATTGTTTTCACCTTGTGAGTCATCATGGCAAAAATGTGGTCCATCACAATCTGGTCTCTAGTTGTTGTTTCTACTAATTAGTGAGATTCTAGCTCATTATCAGCAGTTCATTAGTTCTTTTTTCCACATTTACCAGTTTTCTTTTCGTTTTCTAGTACCAGAAACCGTTAATTATTGCAAAAAGGAAGTAATTAAAAACCTAACTGTAAACTGTGATAGATAGATTTTGCATGTGGACATAAAATCTGGACAATCAGTTGAAACTTTTTTTTTTTTTTTTTTTAAACCCTCAAACAAAAAAACAAAAGAATCATGAAATTGGCATTCACTGTGTACTGAACACCAGGTCCTCAATAAATTCATCAGGGGTTCCACAAAAGCTATCTTTAGAACACAAATCAAACGACCTGTAGTTAGCATTTTTCTAGTCATTCACCTCTTCCCTTCACACACACACACACACACACACACACACACACACACACACACACACACACACACACACAGTCTTTTCAGTCACCTCACATCTTCCTCTAGTGCTTCACAGCGCACAATGCATTCCATATGAGGGGTTAGCAATAATCCAACGTTTAAACAGAGGCAGAGGCAGCCTTGGACTTAAGAGTGGTGCTCATGTTGTTTGTGTGTGGGTATATATATATATATATATATATATACAGTATGTGTGTGTTAATGAGTGTGTGTGTGTGTGCTTCTGGTGAAAGCAAGGGCAGCCTTACACCAGACAGACCGCTGCCAGAACACAGTAATCGCTGTGATGACAGAAAGACGGATAAAAAGCCATCAGATTTATTTCCATGGCCCTCCTAAGGGAGAGGATTAGTGGACATTGACAGGCCAGGATTTCATTCCTAAAAGGAGGGCAATTAATCCTGTGCTACGGCGGCCAAATTCAGTCCTGTAAAACCCAGCGAAATACACATTGTATGTACTCATACAAAATTAGGAAGGCTAATCACCTCTTTTATCCTTAAATATAAACACCCCGCCTGTCTAAGTGTGTGTGTGTGCCGGTTGAATGTGGATTTGAATACGACTCCTACTGTACTAACTGACACATTTCTAATTACACAGGACCTGGGAGACCATGTCTGCTATAATCTCTCTCATGCAAACAATAACACGCTCAAATTAAAATAACATCCTGCAGTGCTCGCAGATTCTCAACACAAACATACACACAACATTTTACAAAAGACGCACATAATTAGACACTGTGCGTTGGTGGACGTAAAAAAAAACAGACATGCCCGCTGCTGCGGCCCTCGCCGGCCTGGAACACTAGCGGGGTTCTGTCTAATTAAAAAGTGGAGGATGTCAGTAGCGGGGGGCCTCTCCGAGCATGACACCCCAAACAGTCGGCCACTGGCTGGGCTCAACTGCAGCAGGGTCTTTCTGAATCATTAGCGCTGCTCTCTGGCAAGCTATTAAAAACACACGCCTGCTATAGATTTAATCCATAGCCTTATCTGTAAATTCCTCATATATTCCCCGTCTATCCTGCTCTCACACATGCAGATTTTCGAGAGCGTGTGCATCAGTCTGTGCGTGATGGCGATAAAATTGCAGAGAGCTCTGAAAAAGAAATGACACTCCTGACTGTGTAATTGACTTCTCCACGAGAGAGCATCTTTTAATGGCAGAGGCTGGCATTTTCGAGTCAGCGCGGACCTGGATAAGGAGCTGACAGAAGGTGGGTAGACGAGAGAGAGAGAGAGAGAGAGAGAGAGAGAGAGAGAGAGAGAGAGAGTGTGGGTGACATGAGAAGAGGGAAGGGAGGCTGGATATGAGACACTCACCCCATAATGAGGCTGTTAATGTAGTCATTCCCATCCATGTGGCCAAACTGGAAGTCTCTGGAGATGCAAGACAAAAAAAATCAGTGGCATGAGAAAGCGAGACAGAACATCAGAAACAGAAACACACACACAACAGAATAAAACGAGCACTTTTTTCCCCCTCCCCTCGTCTCCGTGGACTTTATTTACCTCGGACAAACCGGGACACAAACTCCCCAGCACAATAAGACACAAATATGAAATCACGTTGAATGGAATTGCATGGTCTCGCTGTGGAAATCTGGGATCACGTTTGTCACTATAAGCAGGGGTGGTGGTGGTGGTGCGGGGGGGGGGGAATATATATCCCCAGAGCTCCGTCATCTGCCGTCTCCTGCTTCTCCTAATCTTTTCCAGCATAGAAAAGGACTCAGGTGATTTATCTAAACGATAAGGCAGGAGGAGGAATTCAATTTGTATCTCATTGTACTGCACTATGTCTGAGCAGAGTGTATTGTGGGTAGACGAGGAAGGGGGGGGGGGGGGGGGGGGGTGGGGGGGGGGGGGGGTTTGCACAAGTCCAGGGAAGCCAGTGACTTCCACTGAATGACTGATTATAGAGGCCTCTACATATATATTATATTCATATTGAGTCATAGCTACATCTAGCACATTTGTCCCGTGGGCGCTAAACAATACTGCCAGCGCTTCTACCAACGACACGATTATGGAGAGTCTGAACCACAGTATGTAATAAATCCAGCGGATGCAGTGATAAAATCATTCTGTGTTAGTGATCTTCTCGCCAACAACAGTGGGTCGGACCGGGAATAAAAGCTCATCAAAAAGTCGGTTTGTAACTTTTGCTCTGAAGGCTGCAGCAGTGCGAGATGTGCTTTGGAAATAGTTGGAAAACGATCCACTTAAATATTTATGGATCCGTTTCCCATGTATGTCCACCACCCACCCACCCCCCTGCTCCCAGTGACACGTCTTGGCCCGTCCACTCAGCAGGCCGGCCAACCACAGAAATAAGTAACTATGAGTAACTGAGAAACTTGTGTATGTGAGATGAGGTTTGCAGCAAGAATGTGCAACAGATTTTCTGGTAAATGCCGTCAGATTGTGCAATAACGGAAGATTTTCGCTGTGTAGTTAAATGTTCTCTGTGGAAATGAGTAAGTGCCCTTTTTAACCCGGTCAACAAAATATTTATACTCGAATTTATCTACCTTATTGGTCACGTCTTATGTTTCTCATGGAGGAAAGATGTTTTTTTTCAACATTTCAACAGAATTAATATTCCAGGGAAAGTGGGCGTTAAAATATTTTGTTCCTCGGTAGCTAAACTCGAAAACGATTGCCACGTTACAGGTGGTTTATAATAGACATGAGTATTTCACAGTAAAAGTCACATGACCCTTGTCACCAGCAGGCTTTCAAGCTCGCAGAAATACTATAAAATAAAAAGGTGTTTTTTTTGTTTGTTTGTTTTTTTTGTGGAGAGAAATAACGGACGAGCAATGAGCGATTGCACAAAAGCAATGCAGTAAATGCTGCATTGTTTATGTTTTTAGCCTATTTATGGATGGGCAGGGGGAGGTGTGGTACTGGATTCACTGCCAGGCATCACAGTGTCTTTCTTCATACGACCACTAGGGGCCACAAAAGTCAACAATTTTTTAAATTCACAACGGCTTCGAGATATTCTTACACCAGCACTAAAAATTTATACACTTTGGCCACTAATCCACTTCTAATCTCTTCTCGAATCTCATTAGGTTTATTTCATCATTTATTATTTTAACATTAACATTAATGAAATTCGCCTAATTAATCTTGACGACCTGCAGGTCCAATTTGAAAGTGAGCTGAGCAGCAGAATATCGGAAATGTTGATTGATTGATTGTAACACTTGAATTTCCCCTCCTTTGTCTGTGACATCATCACCATTAGAATTCCCCGCCTTTGAGCTATGACATCATCATCATCATCATCACTCAAATTTCCTTCTTTTGATCTATGTGACATCATCATGACATCATCGTTAGAATACATTTGAAGTTCCACGCCTGTGAGTGAACTGTTTTAATTAATCAATTAACTGATTAATTCATAAATTGATTTGAAGCACACTGAGAAAAAAGAAAAGAAAAAACAAACATCTCTTCATGGCTCACCACATGAATGTCCAGTATGAGGAGCAAACTGAGAAAAAAACAGCAGAAGAAAGTTTACGGGAGGAATTCGAACGGCTCAAAAACGTTCTGCGGAGCGAACGGGCTCAGTGGGCCGAAGAGAGACTGAGGGCGAGGGAGATCGAGGAGACACTCAGAGACGATCTGGACAAGTTGAAGAAGATGTTTGTCACGTACGATGAAGCGATCAGGGAGACGGAGTTGTTAAAGAGGTACTCAAAGCAGAAAACAAACAACTCTAATGCCTGTGTTTCGCAGAAAGACGCGAGGAAGGAGAAAGTGCTGCTGAAGGAAATCGAACGGCTGAACAAAGATCTGCAGAGCGAACGAACGAAAAGGACAAAAACTAAAGAAAAAATGAGGGAGAATGAGAAGCAGCTCAGAGAGGAACTGCAGAGGGTGAAAAGACGACTCATGACTCACGAGAGGTGCATAAAGAAGTGCGAAGTTCTGGAAAATCAAAATCTGGAGCTCGGGTCGTTGCTGAGATGGGAGAGGAGTCTCACGGCTGAGCTGCAGCTCGAGGCCTCCGAAACACAGGAGGACTTCATAAAACTACAACAAGAACGCAAGGAGATGAACGCACTCCTGGAGTGTGAGAGCAAGACAAATACCGACCTTCAGGTGATGATCCAACAGCTTAAAGAAAAACCAGAGAGGCAGGAGAAGACCACAGAAGGAGAGAGCAGCCGGGATTATGAAGACCATATAAAAGCCTTGCGGGCAGATATCGCTGCTCTACAAGAGGAAAACTCCAAACTCCAGAAACCAAACAGCTCACGACAGGAGGAGGAGGAGGTCGTCAAGAGGGAAGAAGTGGAGGAGGAAGTGAGGGCCGAACCAGCACCTGAGTCTCCACAGGTGAGCTGCGAACGCACCGATGAGCTGCCGGCAACACCGATGGAGAAAAAGAAGAGGAGGCCTTCAAGGTGGAGGAGATTTACCAACCTCTTCGCTTGTGGTTCCCGCCACGTGGAGTCAGAGGACGAGTGAGATACTGCAGTAAGTGAGAGGATTTACAACCACATTCATTGATTATTTCTTTTGTTTTTCTGGCCACTAAGAGCAAACTAACTCACACTGTAAAATAGAGAAGCACCAAGTCGCTTTTCACTGATACTGTATTCTCTCTCTCTCTATACATCTCTCTCATCCCTTTCACTTATGAGCATATATTGAGGAAACCATCAGTTTCTCCTGTTGTTTGAAAAACCCAAACGGTCATTTAAAAACACTTATTTTTATTAAAAAAGGTTTAACCAGAAACCCCAAAAAGACTCTTTAACCATCTGGACCTAAAGATATTGTGTCCATATGAGTTGCACCTCAGTTGGACAGGACAGAGTGGCATCTTGGGAAATGGGTTAAAAACCGTTTTCATTGTGCAGCAGATGGAATACTTTTTCACCCAAAAAGGTTTGAAGAGTTTGAAAATACCTTCCAGAGGTTGAAATGACAAAACTCTCCCGGACTCAGAATGGGGAATTGGAGCCAAAAAAATAAAAATAAAAACTTGATCTTGACAATTTCCTACACTAAACCCCCTGTGATAGTCTGGTTTGATCGCAGCTGAGCAGTGACACAGATACAAAAGACACTGCACAACACAACGAGGAAACATCAGCTTCAAAACAAGACAAGGACAGCTCAGACCTTACAGGTTCACCCTCAACCCTCAACCCTCAACCCCTGCAGCAGCCGTGACGTAACCCTAAGTTACTGACTTTCAGCGTTGAGTAATGTTTTGCAGTTTAAGCTTTTGCTGTTTTTTGCTCATAAATTAGTCCGGGGTAAACCGCCTTTGATCTATAAATAAAATCACACTGTCAACGTACAAATATCGATGCCATGGCTCAGTACTTTTCTCATGGTTTTTCAGAACCTAATATGCAATAGACAGGATGCAGCACACCCGAACGGACACGGCACTGTGGCCGAGAGATGAAAATTAGGTCCAACAGTGTGAAATCTTTGCAGGCCAAGATGGGATGATGATTCATGGATTCCAATGAATCTAAGAAGCCTTGGAGGTTTGATAAGAATGAGCAGCAATCAGCGCATTGATTTGGGGGCCTCAAGCTTGACAACTGCAGAAAGTGCTGCCTTTCACGGATACAGTTTTTCCACGTAGACAGTACTTCTTCTTTTCGGCAAACAAATGGTCCTCGTAGGTGAGTTTCTGTTTGGCAGGGGACAGCGTTTCGGACGGCGGTGCTTCTGTGTCGTGGTGGACAATGGTAAGGGTGTCTGGCCGTGACATGAAGCGAAGGTATCACCTGCTGTAAGGAAGCTTTTGTCACGTTCTGAAAGGCAGAATGTGTAATCCGCTAATAACTGACATGTGCTTTAGGGAAATTACTGCTAAGGGAGTCGTCATACCTTGAACCTTGTGTGTTGTAAATACAAACGCGACCTTCACGCATTGACAAGTTCTATTCGCAAATGTTCCTTTGCAAGGAAACCCGACTGCACAATTATGTCGTCTGCATCTATTTTTATGATGTCAAGAGTAAAACATGTTCATCAATCTGTTTATTCGAAGCATAAACATGCAGGTATGTCTTTTGTGCCGGAAAGCGAAGCCCCGTCTTCCTCAGACAATGCATCTGACTTTCCTTTGACCTTCTTTGGACTTTTCTTTGGTTCAGCGTCTCGGCAAAAGAGGACATCATCTATTTTTTGACGGATAATTTCAGTCAGCGTGATCTTCTGAAAGCGGTCGCGCCAGAGGTCGGTTCGTATACGCACAGAGGTTCAGCCTGTCTGTCAGCCAGGTGGTTGGCTGATAGAAATCTCCAACAGTGAGAACCGGCATTTCGCAAAAAAAAAGGTCTCTGGATTCCTTTGATTTGAGCCATTCTTGCATCTACATAGGCAAAGAGAGGCTTTGAGACCGTGGATACTTCACCATTGATGAAGCATTTCAACATGTAAAAGCTCTGCTCTGACTTTACCGAGGCCTTGAAACAAGAGGCTTTACGCTTCGTGGCGGCTTAAAGAGGAAGCTCAAATCTGTACCTGAAGTGTCGGCAACAAATAACAACCGCAGCATGTGTATGATGTATACTATACTGTGTCTAACTGGTTGTGAGCTGAGCTGCTGATAGAAATCTCAGGCAGAGTAAAAACCTGGTTTTAAAGCTGCAGGTTTCCTTCCTACTGCAGAGACCTCAGTATGTGAGTGTGTGTGAATGTAAACTCCTATTTTTATTCCATCATTTGACTGTGTGCATATTAACCCACAGCGACTGAATGATGCAGTTTGAATAAAATTAGTATTAAACTAATAAAGTAATAAATAGAAATGCACACATGAAGCAGCAGTCCTCTCGAGCAGGTTAGAGAGGGTTGCCATGATAACACAATATTGTAATATCGCTCTGTTGACAACTCAACCGCAGGGGATTTTTTTTCTGGTGTTGATGTTCAATAATATTTTATTGAATCTGAATCCACTTGATGCTAAAATATGTGGCAACAATGATCTATTATCACCTCATAAGAGCGGACAGTTACACACCTACACATCCAGCAACACTTGGAGCTGTGTTTCTAGCAAATGAAAGTTTAACATCCACTCTCCACCTCTATCTGGAGACAGTAATTTGATCCATTGCTAAAGTTAAACTGTTGATTAGTGCAAGGTTAAGTAAGGTTGTTCTGAAATGTTAAGAAAATGTTCCCCCTTGGTGCTCGTTGCTTTGAGTCCAGAATTATCTGCGGACAGGAAGTCACGGGTCAAAGGTGTTTCAGCTTGTGGCAAAAGCACGGCACAGGCTTTTACCCATGATAAACATTCATGTCTGGTCCTGTCGCAGTGCAGGATTTCATCACAATTCACACCCACCAACTGACAAAATGAAACTTTCCCACAAGTACAATTTGCTCACATGTAGGCATCTGCCCCCCCCCCCTCCCCCCTCCACACACACACACACACACACACACACACACACACACAGACAGGTTCCCTCTCAGATCTGAGATTTGCATTCACTGTTCTGTCAAAATGGTACAAATGGTGGGTGAGCTGAATACCTCGACATTTATTACCGCATCAAACGGCATCAGCTCATTCAGATGTCAGTCACCACCTATGATCTGTCGAATGCGCTGCCTCCGCCCACCACCGGGGGCGACAGTTGAGCCTGTGACTTTGTAATTACAAGTGCCGTTTAAAGGTGTGTCGGAGCGCTGCACGCGGCTCTGATCTCAGTGGGGAATCTCAAACTCAAAAGTCTTCAAATAAAAAAAATTTACAAAAAAACAGGACTGGGTAGTGTGGCGGATACTAGTCTAATTGATGATAGGGATCTGTGTAATTCAATCAGTCCTAATGGGAATGCCTGGAGAGGGGACGAAACACTTTGATCGTGGCGGTTTGAGATACAGAAATCTACCAGATGAAGCAACATGGTCGATGATGACGTGAGTATAAGGAAGGAACTTAAGCACAACGTGAGAAATGTGATTCGGTTTCGAATTGATCTTTGTGAGAAAAAAAAATCACCCTTCACCCTATTGTGGGTGTGGGGGGGTGGGTGGGTGAGGTGGGTGGGAGGGGGGTGATCAGAGATAAGGGTCAGCTACAGAGCAGCGACCTCATCTGAATTCAAACCACTTCAGCAGAGCACACGTTGGCTTTAACCTGGGTTCTCCGTCTGAAGGATGACCTTCCTACTGTGCTCACTAAATCATCACATACATACATAATTTATTATTATTATTATTAGTAAATAATCAATTATATGTATATATATATATAAATTTAAGTTATTATTTATTCAATTTATTCATTTGGTGCTTTGTCAAATCAGTTCCTCCAGGAAAAGAACAGGTCAAACATGGCAGAGAGAGAGAGAGAACATCTCATCTCCAGTTGTTATTGCCCGACCGAAGACGGAGAAAACAGAAAATTACGAATTAATACAAGCCGTGCTGAGTTTTTGAGTGACAGCTGAAAAGAACACCTATATTTGGAAGCTGACATTTTGCATAATTACCTTTCTGCTGAACCTCAACCAAAACAGACGTGCCCCGACAAAAAGGCATAAACCTGCTTGCGGATATAGACAGGCGGCATTCCCCCAGTAAGTGCACCATCCTACAATAAACGTAGAAATTGGATATTCATCTTTGACCTCGTCGTGCGTCTGCTGTGCCTTACCTGTTAAAATGTTCTCTGTACTCCTTCGCCACCCTCTGAATCAAGCTCTTTAATCTAAAAGCAAATGAGAAGAGAGTGAAACACCACATGAGTCGGCGTCTAACCCTTTTTTTTTTTTCCCCTTCTTCTTTTTTAGTCGGGGCCTGCAATTTGTGGGAAGATCCAAACAATGACAGCAACTCTTATCTTTATTTGAAAGCCTTGCACTTAAGCACAACTATTGCGGCAAAGTGTGGGAGTGTATGGGAGTCATTTATACAGAGTCATGCTTTTTAATTTCGGTGTTCTTTGTACCTGCCACTCTTCTCTGTGGGGTCCTTCTCGTCGATGACTGCAATCGCCACCAATTTGCCTGAGGTGGCAGACAGGGATTACAAATCACAATCACACACACACACACACACACACACACACAGGAAAAAAAAAAAGAGGGTGAGAAGACAATGGCAGGCAGATTAAGAGGCTGTGGATGAGACGCATCACCTCGCAAAGGGGGGTGAGCGAGAGCTTTTTATTCATTCATCACTCAAACATTAAACTAGCTTAGGCTTTCTACTTGGTTGAACAGGAAACAAGTGGTCACTTTCTGGTAGAGGAGCTATTTCAGTGCCATTCAAAACCCAAACCCACGACATGACAAATAGGTCTACTTAAAATAAAAAATAAAAAAAACTTCTGTTACCCTGACTTGTATGATTTGAAGCTAGAAAACCCCTTGTTGCTTGGAAGGAGAGTGCCAGCCTGCCCCCTGGTGGTCACCGGTGGTAGTTATATATAGCGAGGTTAAGGTTATGTGAAGACAAATAATATTTTACATTCAAATACAGTTTCTAGTGGGATGAGTGGAAAAGGACGAGGCAGTTAATCCATGAAAGTATTTGTAAAATGTCTGCACTCACTGTATATGTTGATGTTGATATCCTCTACATGTACCTGAATGCATCATCCCCAGAGTAACCTTTGGTGCATACTTATGTGGTTGTTAAGAAATGTTGTGTTTGTGATTTTTTATTTATTTTTTTCCTACAGTGCCTCTTCTTGGGAAAACAACCTGTAGAAATGTGCATAATTAACTCTGTGGCGTCTAACGAGGTGCACAGATTCCACTGTTGATGTAGCCGAATTAGCTAGTTAGCTAATTAGCAGCCCTGGATAATCAGGAGAGATTCATCGAAGGGAGCCACTCGGCTGCGGGACGTTTGGTCGCCTATAATCTCGCCAATTTCAGGTTTAATTAAAAAGAAAAAAAAGGAAATCTGGAAATCTATAAGAGTTGTAACGAATGGAACGATCAACATTTGGGTTGTTGAGATTATTTTGGCCAGTTTTGCTCATTTCTCCATGGTAACAATGAAGAAATGTTGATAAAGCAACAATAAAATTCTCATTCATTTCCACTTTTCTAGCTAAAATGTCAATTCTACTGTGGAGAAATGTTAATAACATCACTAATAAAGCGTCAAAGTCTTCCCACTTTCTGCAAAAGCTGATGGCAAAGGTTAGTGAGGTCTGTGCAATCATAAATGCGAGTCATTAATGAAGAGTTCTTAACATAATCCATCATGTCTGCACTCGTCAAGATCTTTTATATCTCGTCTCCAGATGATAAAAGTCCGTCCGAGCTAAAAAGACAAATCAAATGTCATGCCGGAGGAGGATAAACACCAGCCAAATGGATTTTTCATAACCTGGCAACCCAAAGGTGTTTTCTAACAGAGGGCAGATAACAGATCTACAAAGCATTAGATTTATTAACAATAAATAAAAGTCACGTATAAACCTTTAAAAAATATGTTCATGTATCATTTAGGTGTTGTTTCTGAGCATTAAAACAACAGGTGTGTTGTTGAGAGGAACTGAGAGAATAACTGAAGCTCATCGAGTCTTACGATCGCTGTAACACACGGGTCCAGATGTTTTTACGACCTGGAGACCGAAGATCTCGCTTCAATGTTGCGAGGTGATGTAAATCAAATCTTACGATACATCCATCTTCCGACCTGCACACGTCATACTCCCTGAAACCGGCTCAATCGCATGTATACAAGTCGATGGAGCAGCCCTTTGGATTTCCTCCTCCTCCGGGTTTGGGAACTACTTCTCCTACGGAATCTGATACTTGATTGAAATGTCTTTAGAGACAAAAGGCTTACACTGTTTTCACAAATTCACTTTGATGGAAACTCTGCTAAGTTAATTCAACAGACTGAAGCCACAGACTGCGTCGCCTTTAATCACTCTGACTCAATTAAGACGCTTTTAGTGAGTGTTTTGTATGCAGAGCTAACCCCCGCCACGCAGCGAATTTAGCATAAATGGGCTAAAAAGTGAATTTAAGCAGCGACAAATGTGAGCAACATCCAACAGTTGAGAGTCGCTGATCTCACACAGAGAGAGAGAGAGAGAGAGAGAGAGAGAGATAAAATACTGCGTATAAGAGAAAGCCCCGTTTTCTCTGCACTGCATCGATTTACTGCTGTTGAAGAGACGGTTTGTATTTCTTCAGCTTAAATTTCCTATGGGACGAAAAAGCGCATGAACATCTGAGCAGCGTGGTCTATCTGGAGGGAAGGGACGCTCTTTCCCCATCATGGCTCCAATGCACAATTAAAGCTTGTATTTTTTTTTTTTTTTTTACTAGGAAGTCTTTACAAGACCAGCTTTCATAGGTTTGATTTTTAATTACAAAGTCGACATGAGGTAGATTGGATATTTCAGGGCGGGAAGCTAAATATTAGGGATTGTAGAACGATGTAATAAATTGAAGGGGGCAGGCTGAGTGAAAGGTATTTGCAAAGTGCTGATGGACTACAAATGATATACGCTGCTGCTCATTTTGCAGTTTAAAAAATGTCGTCAATTGACTTTCACAATCACAAGTCACACAGCTGATGTTCACAGTTGACAAAACAACGCCATTTACACAGAAAATGGAGCTGTGAAATGTGCAGTTGATTAATCAATTAGTCGCCCAGCCGGAGAAAAAAAAAGAAAAAGATGACTGCAAATGATTTCGATAATTGCTGACGTCTTTTTTTCAAGCAAAAATGGAAAAAAAAAAACAAAAAAACAAAAAGAACATTTCATAGCTCCATCTTTTTTCAAATGTGAGGATATGAGAGTGAACTTTTAGTCTGTGTGTCGTACTGGACGCTGTCTTGTATTCCTGTGATGACCGTTGACACCTGGTGACTCATGTCTGCGAAGAGCGCGACATAAATAAACTTTATTTTGAAAATCTGCGGGTTCTGGACTGTTCCTTGGACACTGGAAAACCTGGTTGGACGTTTTTCAGTATTTTTTTGGGGCATTTTATAGAAGAAAAAATGTATCCAAAAATAAAAATATATATATTTATAATAATCGGCTGAAATAAATGTAAGTTGCAACTGTAACCTATGGATTATGACTGCTACTATATATTATTATAACTGGAATAATCAAAATCGCAATATGGCCAAATCGCAGGAGCTGCCATTTTTTTTGATAAAAGGTCAAATGTGTCATAACATTGTTGTCCATTGTTAGTAAATATAAGCATCGTGTTGCTACAGAAACGCCCTGGCCTACAAATCATATTCTCCAGACGTAAAAAGGAACGTGTGTTTGGTACGAGACCCAACAACAACAATCATCATCGTTACCTTGCGTATCGTGCAGCCCCCTTAGTATAGATTAGTTGCATTATTTGAAACAAGATGTCATGAATATGTACAACTTTCAAGTGTAATAAAAAGCAAAACCTGAACTTTAAAAAGTAAAAATGCTGTTTGGGAGAAAACGGCATCTTATGGATGAAGAATCTAATGCGTACGCCACCTGTTTCCCCGAGCTCATAGAGCGTGAAGCCATCGATCTGCAGGTACCCTTGGAAGCGCTCCTTGTTCACCCACGATGACAAACTGCCGTCCTCGTACTCTGCAACACAGACAGGAAGAAGAAATCTTTCAGGAGGAGAAGAAACGAGAAAAACAGCCAATCGACATTCAGCACACAACCTGTATTAAAAAAAAAAAGAAAGAACAGTGTGTGAGAAGATCACAGTGTTCACCACCTGTACGCTCTCGAGGGAATAAAGAGCGGGACACAAGCTGAGCATGCCTGGACAGAGGTCAGCCAAACAGCAATCAGAAATTATTTTGACAGAGGGCTGCCGCCGGGTTAAGTAGACAGGGAGGTTATTATGGGTCTGAAACGGCGTGACGTGAGTCAGAGCGAGCAGACCGGGAGTCGAGCCAGATGTAAACAATCAAAAAGGTAACGCTTCGGTTGTCGAGACGTACGTGAAAGAAGCGTTTGTTCAGGCCGGGTTGTCCACAATCATCACGTTGTAAAAGATTAATTTTCTATTTATCAAATAGCTGGTTGTCAAGACTATTAAAAAATAAATAAAGAATAAAAGAAAACCTGTAATTTTCATTCACAATAGATGTTTTTTTTTTTTTTCCTGGGATTCTGCCACACCTGACCTCATTTTCACAGCCATTATGTTTCTGTCTTCCAAAAAAAAAAAACAGAAAGCAAAGGAAAAGGCATTTGGTTTGTAAATGACTCTCCACACATACGTACATTCATTTTCAGGACACAGTTCTGGCAGATTTTTTACACATTTGGAGAGTGAATGCATAATTCAACAGACGCATCAGGAAACAAAAAAAAAAAAAACAAAAAAACCATCAAGTGCAACAAATAAATAAAAAATAAAGTGGAAAAAACAAAAAAAAAAAAAAAAAAGGATTGTTTCCTGAATGTGAGCCACATGTTGTTGTTTTCCCCCACAACATCTGGAGGCAACATGCAACTGGGAGAGCGTCCCGGGAGGGCGGGGATAAACGGCACCGCTCTCTCTCCGGCTGAGAGAAAGAGGCTGCAGGACGCTCATAATTGATGTCGAATGTAGCCGGGACCTCATTATGACATGTTAATAAGTTATCATGACCTTTCTGCTGCTATTACAGTAATTACAAGAACGCTGATGACTTTTACATGGTTCTTTAGGCTGCAGGGCCCCAAAGGAGGCGGGAGCGCAATAGCGAACATGACAACCTAAAAACCTGTGACGCGCTTTTTTAAAAAAAAGCCCAAGGTCGTAGCTTTTGCTAGCACTGGCATCCAAAAAAAATGACCTTAATGCAATGCAATCTATTCCTCAGTGCTGCTGCTGCTGCTGCTGCTGCTGCTGCTGCTGTGTGCAGAGCAGAGCTGTTGCTGAGTCAGTCAATATGGAAGACATTCCAGAGAGTTCTCTCCACAGATGTTCTGGCTTTAAAGACGGCATGCAGCTTCCATCCACCCCCCCCCCCCACCAGAAGCGAGGCGAGAGCTGAAGGGCCCCATACTGGGATCATACAGCCTGATGAACCTCTACATGGACTGAACCTGCTTCACCTTGAAACAAATTAGAGCCGCTCTCTTCCTGGGCGCCAGCCACGCACATCTCCATACTGCCCTACAGGAGCCTGTCAGCCCAGAGTTCACACAGCGGGAGACGAGAGAGAGAGAGAGAGAGAGAGATGAGGAGGAGGAGGAGGAGGAGGAGGAGGAGTGAGGACGAGCCATGTGTCAAGAGTTTTGAGTGGAGGGAGGAGGCGGCTCTGACACGTTTCAAGGATGAAGGTTAATGGCACAGAAGACCTTCCAAGACAATGCAAATAGAGTAGAAGAAGAACCGGAGGGAAGAGACGGAAGAGAGGCGGGGAGCGATATCGTCGCAGATAACTCCAACGAGGTGAGACGCAGGACGAGGAGGAGGAGGAGGATGTATGAAACAGAAACAGAAAGCTCGTGTTTCACTTCAAGAAAAAGAAAACACAACAATAAAAACAGTTATATCACAGTTTGTGGGGGGGGTTCATGGGTAAATAATAAGTTAATATATAATACTTACTTCCTTTTATTGCTCTGTTTACATTTAAAAGCAGCCGGCAGAATAATAATAAGCCGAGCTGGTTCTTGTTTATCTTTTGTTTTTAGTTTATTTATTGTATCTATCAGCGTATTTGAGTTTTATAAGTTGGAAAAATGACTGAAATAAACTAAACTAAAACTATTCACATGCAAAGCTGAAAAATCACGACGTCACATGAGATGTTTCAGTGAAATATTGAATTTCACATGAGGGATGTTGTTGTTTTTCCTCTTTGATTTTCCACTTGAATAAGCTAAATAACACAAGTGTAACTTTTATGCCTGTGTGTTTGGGCACGACATGTCAATACACACTAACACACCCGTCCAACGATTCAAGGAAGGTGAAATATGATCTGACGCCTCGCCTCGCCTCGCCTCGCCCCCCCCGCGTCGATTCAAATGACCCGCCGTCAGAAAAATGTCGTCTTTGTGTTGTCACCTTTTTCTCATCCCGTCATCACAGTCCTGGACTGTTAATCAGTCATTTAAGCGCTGCCGACACACATATGCAAAACAGTCCTGGCCTCGCTGTGTCGAATACTCTTCCATAGAAGGAGTCAGGGCCGAGGCCGAACCATAAACAGCCGCGACACGGAAAGCCTTCATGTGGAGCTCCAGAGTGTGTGTTAACATGTTTGAAGACGACTACGAGAGCGAGTGGTAGCGCACTGTGTACACAAACATACATCCTAATTATATCTTTCCCTACTTTTCTCACAGCACTATCATGTGGCCCAGTAGCTTTCGCTGCAGACACGCAGTGATCAAAAAGAGAAAAAGAAAAAGGCTCTTCAAGCACAATAACAGTGCGAACCTCTGTAGCAGTAAGAAGCTGAGGATTTGAAGAATTAAATATGTATGAGCCTCTGTGCTGTACTATATTTTAACAGAAAGGGGGATGCCTGTGTTTGTGACGCGCACTAAAACCAATCAAAGCTCCACAACAACGTGTCAAATATCATCCGACACAAAGCGAGGAGCCGTTGTTTTGGACAGGGCGGCTTTGATCAGCAACAACACGGATCTGCACATTAACAACCAGCGCTGGATTTCTAATAAGTATCTTGAATCTGCATCTTCACGAAATACAAGAAGAAAAGTGACAAAAGCTGCTTCTGTAGCCGGTGGATACAAACAATACAGCCCCTAAAAATACATATATGCACAGTATATAAATAAAGGTGTGTGTTATATTTCACACACACTTGAATAAACGTCACAGTGTGTCACCGGGTGTTGATGCAAATGTGTCTCGGAAGTTCAGGCGAATAACATTTGATTAAAAAATTTTAAAAAAGGCTTGTGACAGAACATCATGCAAAGTGAGAGCAATAAAAAAAAAAAAACCACACAAGGAGCCGGAGCTCCAGGCGGTGGATTGTCAGGGAGACCGGTCCTCTGAGAGAAACGTGGCGCCGCACAGCTGGACGGAAACCAGATGCTGAAGACCACAGGCGGTGGAAAAGGGGGAATTTCTTCTGCCGTCGCTGCAGGTGAGTGTTTAACGAGCGACAGCCGCATCGCTTCACCTGTGATATCTCATTACAAGCGCTTTACTTTCTCCATTTTCTAGACGCCGCTTCCCCCCCCACCCACCCCCCCACCGCACCCACCCACCACCCTTGACAAGCTTAATACGGTGTCACCATGGCGATGCTGGACATTCAGCGCATCCTCCGTTTCACGGTGCTGGAGGACTCTGCGGAGAGCGGGGTCTTTGTCGTTCGCGTCTGCTGCGGCGAGCCCCTCCTGCTGAGGTTCTGGCGCAGGAAGCCCGCCTTCCGGAATGGTCAGGTGGAACAGACGGACGTGAGGTCGCAGGCGGCGGCGGCGGCGGAGATGGATTTTGTTCTCCGGGTGCTCCACCGTGCACCGAACCTACCCAACAGCCACTACTGGGGGCCGTTTGTGTTGACGCTGTGCCTGGACGCTCTTCATTTCCGCTTCCGCCTCCCGCCTCAGGCCCGCAGCGGCAGCACGATACAAGACATCATGGAGGGACGTGGAGAACTCACACTGCTGCGGTGAGGCGGCAGAGGGAAAGCAGCTCCTCTCAACTTTCAATGTCAAATATGATTTTAGTTTGCTGACGCTTGGCGGCTGATTCAGTTCTCGGCTCCGTGTGACTCTATATACAGCAACAGCTTCGCTTTGGTTCCTCCGGCCCGAACTGCGGTCCGTCGCAGTCCATCCACCCCGCTTTGCTATGTGTGTCCGCCCAAAGACAAACCACCACAACATCACTGGCCTCACCGCGCACACAATAGTGGGCAGAGCCCCGGGTGCTTTATGATGGGCCAGGCTCGCCATAACTCAGTGTGGTGAGGAAGATGAAAGAGGAGCAGCCGGGACGGGAAGACTGGAGAAGCCCCGGCTCCAGTTACAGGGATTAAAACCAGAGAAGGAGGAGGAGGGAATAGACGGAGGGAAACTGTGTGGCCCACCGTGGCTCCCAAAAAACTCATTTCTACTCAACACTTAATGGAAGAAAAACCACCCGGAGACAGGGTGACGCAACACTCACCGTCGTAGGTGAAGAAGGCTCCGTCCTTAAAGACTACAACCGCAGGAAGTTCTGGCAAAGATACCGACTGGTGAAGACACACAAAAGAAAAAATACTTCAAGTTTCAGTAATCATGTTTACTCTGAGTGTGTGTGCACCTGTCGGCAGCACGGCTCTGCAGCTGACTGTGAATCTTCTACAGCTCTATGCAAGCCTGGGATCTGTGCGTGCACTTCTAGGAAAATATCTGTGCTAAAAGAATGTAATTATTCACGTCAAGCTAGAAAAATTAAAAAGAGAAACTGGGTGCACGACTCTTAAAGAGTATCAATCTTTCAGAAATGCATTACATGACACTTTCAGAAGAGAAAACAATGATGTATATTCAAAGCGTTACCTCTGGCAAGACTTCCTCTGAAGCCGAGAAGAAGTAAGTGTAGACGATGAGCTCGGAGGCGACGTCGTTGTACTTCTCCTGCACAAGAATTTTTAAAAAAGGCAAACAGGGGCCTTTTAGCAATCGCACAAAAGCTTTCATTAAATCAGTGTTTAACAGGTGTAAAGTCTGAGTCTCTGCACGGTGATTCACACAAGCTGGTCTTTGTTTATTGTTAAGCAGCGTGTCTGTTATTCAGTCGACGCTGGGGGTGAAGCTTGGTCCTTACTTTGAGGGGAGACTCCCCGCCGACGTACACGAACAGCACGTCGTGTCGTTTCAACATGTGCTCAAACATCTGCTTGCTGGGAAGCGCTCGGACGGCCGGTCTGCGGGAGAAGAACATCCACAGCGGGGGGGGGGTTAGTTTATTTAAATGTGTATTTAACTTAAAAAACAGCACAGAAAATGAGACACTGATGTAGTGACTAATGTATGAATGTGCACCAAGTGTTGCTCTGCTGATTTTATGCGCTGGTGGCGCCACCCAGTGGGGATTCGACTACTTGCAGCCTCAGACTTAAAAAATAAAAACAGAGCCAAGCTTTTGATCAACCCCTCTGTCACGGATCTGGCTTGATTTCCCTTAAGGAGGAGGAAATCTGTCAGGCTCAGTTGATACAGTGGCTAAACTGGAGCATCAGAGGCAGACATCCACTGAGCTATGAAACAAATATGGCCTCTGCAATCAATAAGCTCGGGCTTGGATGTTTTTTTTCTCGTGGCGTCTGTTCCTGTGAAATGAGGGAAGCTGCACTGACTGATCGGTTTCATGTTGGCGGCTCGAAGGGCTGCGACTCACCCCGACACCCTGTTGGCAAACTCCACGATGTCGTCTTTTGTCCTCGGCCCCTTGTAATTATAGGCGAGATCGCCCTTTAACCTGAGGACGAGAGGCAGAAACAAAACAAGATCATTTCATTATGAAACCGCTCAGCATCACTCACCGCTCTCTGCTCTTAACTCCCCGCGGGGAACTGAATATTTTTCACATCTGATTAATTATCTAATCAAGGCAAATTGGCAAATATTAGCTGCTTCCAGCTTCTCAAAAGGTGAACGTTTGCTGATTTGACCCTGCGTCTCCCCCTCAGACAAACCTCACCCCACCTTAGTTTACTCGCTTTGTTTCCCTCAATTCCCGGACACCCACGGGATCATGATCGTGTTATTTCAAGCCTAATACAGCTGTTTGACACGACTGAGACTTAATCAAACACATTACAAAAAAGGTCTGTCCTGAGGTTTCTATTAGTTTCTGACTCTGAACTATCACTTTAACTGACTCACACACATTCAGGCTCATTTACCTGATCTCCTTTTGATCACTGATGTAATAACTTTCACTGAGCCTCTCTCTGGTGACGCCCACCTCCCACTTTGAAAACCTCTGGGCTGAACGATCATTTAATAGCCAAAGATAAATAAATAATCACCAGATTAAATCAATAATGTAAATAATCATTAGCTGCAGCCTTTCTTTAGCCCATTAAACTCTCGTCTCTGTCTTGAAACGTGCGCATGGCAACCGAAACCTGTCTCTTACGAGGTGTTGTGATGAAACAGCAGATCTATCAGGGAGAAAGGTCAACTTAATCTAAATCATCGCACCTCCAGCGGGAAAAAAAATAAGAAAAGGAAAAAAGACAAAAAAAAAACCAAATGACTTTCTCTAATTGAGTTCCAGCGGAGGAAAGTGCCCGAGTCGAGCTCGTACAACAAGCAGAATGCATTAAGGATTACTAAGGTTGCATCAGCCCACAGGGCTTAATGAACTCAGGGGGAAACAGAAACTCTAAATCAAGTCTCCCTCCGTCACCGGGGGAGGTGTCTCGTGTTCGTCGATGGATGTTTCATCACTTGCTTGGTTTAATGTTATGAACCCTGCCGTGATCCTGTGGCAGTTTCCCAAATGAGCTTGATGAAACTAAATGGGGAGGGCCATTATGGCAGCGTGAAGACGGATGATTCCGTTTCAAATATATGTCGGAAAACTCCGTAATGCGCGAGGCGATCGTTTTCTCCAGGAGCCAACGTGAGCTCCGCCGCCGCCGGAGCAGCTGGCGTCTACGTAAGATTCATTCATTTTATTCAAAACAGTGTCACTCGCACCCCAAGAAACAATTTGTCAGAAGTTAGATGAAGAATACGAGTTGGCTCACAGTTGGAGAAAGAAATCACGCGGATCACATTTGTTGATCCACAGATTCCCCCAGATAAATTGTCCCGGAGAAAAAGTATAAATATAAGCAACAGGAGGTGTCAATTTAAAATCGCTCAAGCTAATCTTAAAAACGGGTTCCTCACCCAGGAAACGTATCATTAACAACATCTGAGCGTGACGAACTTAATAAAATTAAAGTTCAGAAGGTGTGAACACAGGTCGTCACTTGGTTATGCTTCGAGTTGACGGCAACAACACCTTGATCTCTCCTGAGTAAGTCATCTACAGGAACCTCGACGGGCCAAAACCTCAGGGGGGAAAAAACACAACAGTGGGGAAAAGGATCCTGATGATAACAAAAATACAAACTTAAGTCGAGACACTTGAGGGGATGAAGGGGTGATTAACAAGTGCGGAACACGAGAGGCTTCACAGAGACGAGGGTGATCCGCAGACTGTGACCGGACCCAGATTCAACGAGCCCTTTAATCTCATATGGATTTCTTCAGGCCTGTTCGAAGTTGCGCTGACGTGTGAAGAAGAGTCTGGCAGCGGGAAAACAGTCGAAATAATTTGACTCTCTAACTTCAAAAATTGTGTTTATAGGTTCTGGGTGTCCAGAACTTCAGAGAGACACTCACAGTTTTATCGTGGGGTAACCGCGAACGCCGAACTCCGACGCCATTCCTGCAACACAGAGAGGAAATAAACCGTCTCAAAGAAGAAGTGACAAACATTTTTTTCTGTATCCAACAAAAAAAAGAAAACCATCTGAAAACAGCTGATTAAAGGAACCTATGAAGCTGGAGCTGAAACTGTCTCTGGACGACTGAAGTAAATATGTATTTCTGCTTCAATCCAGCGTCTTTACATTGTGTAATTTCTACTGATGTTCATTAACATGCATTGTCATTATCAAATAAACAAATAAATAACTAAATAAATAAATAAATAGCCTAGTTAGCTTAGCATAAAGGCTGGAAACCTAGTTGCCAGGCTAAGTTAAGCTAACCAGCTGTTAGCTGTAGCTTCATATTTAACAGAGAGATAAAACAAAATGTGGAACTGTTCCTTTAAAAGACAAGTGGAACATAAATAAGGTCACTGACTGACTTGATTTATGGTTATTATATCTTTTATTGTGGCAAATATATTAAATTTGCTTATTATATTGTGACATAATTAAATTATCATCAAAAATCCATCTTTAAAATTGTAACTGCAGCTTTTGATGGGACCTGAAAGCCCTTTACATACAGGGAATGATCATGATTTGTCTTTGCCTTCGTCTCCAACATGCGAGATAATCACCTGGGGACAAACGGGCTCCGAGGGGACACGTTCAGCTGCTTCATCATCTACTCACCAGAGTACGCAGTGGCGTCCATCTTTCCCACACGGACCGGCGACCCGGAGCTTTTCAGCTCCACTCCCACGTCGTACCATACCGGCTCTAGCTTTTTACAGTAACCGCACCACGGCGCGTAGAACTGAGAACGAGCAGGAGAAGAAAGCAATCTTCAGATCAACATTTCAACACCACGTATAATAGATAATAAAATAAGATAACATATATTTGTTATTCATGATCAAAATATCAAAAAGTACCAGCAGTAAATGGGTTCGGCATCACAAAAAATAAGTAAATTCTTTTGTGAATCAACAGTTTTACATGTTGATAAGAGCCGGAGATTCAGTGTAAAGTGCTGAAAAAACAAAACAACGAGCTAAAAGAGGCTAAAAACACACTGGAAAAAACCTGCTGAGTTAGCTGATAATTCATCAACCCTTCCATATTCAACACGATGCATTATAATTATTATTATTATTATTATTATTATTATTATTATTGTTATTATTATTACAGAAACGTGTTTTAAATATTGATTAGTGGAGCTAAAAATATGAAGTTAAACTCATAAGTTACTGGCAAATATTTTGAATTCAAATTCCTCTTCTAGTGGATTTACAGTTTAAATCAAACAGTAATGTGCTAGTGGAGTAGTCTGACTGTGTGTAACCTCTTATCAATACACTGACACGCCCCAGTGTCACAGCTCATCCCCAAACTCGCAGTGAAAGCAGCTTTGAGTGTCCGAGCTAGATTTGCTTATACGGACCCAGACTCCTATCTGATATAAACCCCTCCGAGCCCCCAGGCTTTGCCCGGCATGCATGACTTCTCATTGACTAATCACAAACACAGAGGACAGTCTGCACACCCGCTGCGCCTCCACCCTCCCACGTCCCGCCCTGACGGCTGCCGTTTCCGCAAGGGATGATCAGGACAGTGGCGCGCTGGACGTGAAGTAAAGCATAGCTGAATGGGCCCAGACTGTGTGTGTGTGTGTGTGTGTGTGTGTGTGTGTGTGTGTAATGTCAGACTTACATCAACCAGCCAGATGTCGTTCACTCTGGTGTCTTTAAAACTGTTGGAAAGAAAAGAATAGAAATATTAAAGTTAATCATATTCTGTATATTGTTAAGAGACGCTTGGTACATTTTAAACACTACAAAATAATACAAGCTATATAATATTATCAGCTATATGGATGTAAGACACTAAAATTATCATTAGGGCTGCAGCTAACTATTTCTTTCATTATCATTATCATTATCATTATCATTATCGCGGGATATTTCCTTGATAAATCGTTTTGTCTGTGAAATGTCAGAAAATAAATTCAACCCAAGATATTCATGTATGACAAAGATATGTATTAAATTCTCACATTTGAAAACCTGGATCCAGGAAATGTTTGGTATTTTTGCTTAAAAGAAACATTTTAGGACGAATAAAAAAAAAGAAACACCTGCCTAGAATAATTATTTGTCTCTGATATGGTTTTTCAAAAAACAAAAACAAAAAAATCAATAACCTCATTAAAAATTATTAAACTAAAATCTACTCCTTCTCTCTTGTTGGATAAAAATTACAGATATCAAAAGCTCGCTCACTTCAAAGTGAGGTAACAATGAGAAAAACACATTTCTGCCTTTAAAAAAAAAAAAAGGGATTAAAATGAGGGTTGCAGCTCTAATCATCATTAGTAACAAAATTGCAAAAGACATAATTAGCAGTTCCCACCAACACAAATACACACTAGAGACATAACCTTCAGAGACTTCCCACCACATGCATCCAATTAAAGGGCAGTGTGCAACTGGAGACCTGAGAAGAAATCCAGACAACCTCCTCCTCCTCCTCCTCCAGTGGTACGTTTACTAAAGTACAATCCTGAGGTACTTTGTATTTGTAATCCACCACATTTCAGTGGGATATATTCTTCTTTTTACGGCACGACATTTATCCAGAAGCTAAAGTTGCATACAACATATGACAAACTAAAAAAAAAAAAAAAAAAATACGATGCATCCTCACAGATTAAAAAAGCTGCACATGAAAATGCTGCTCACTTGTCAAAGCATTATAATAATATTCAAACTATATGATATACACTGAATTGTCAGTTTATTAGGTACACCTCGGTAGGACTACTGCAATCTGATTCAGCTGTATTATTATTTTGTCATTGCATCACTGTCTACAGAGAGGTATACCCTGCCCCCACTGATATACTGTGAATGACATGGACAACATTATAGAAACACTCTACTTTTACTTTTTCTATTAAAGTATTTTCACACATTTAAATGCATTCTTTAATTTAAGTTGAAGATCCATTTCTGCTTCTGTTTTATTTAACCCTGAGGCCCTTTGAAAATGTGATGTGCCCCTTAAAAAACCTGCACAGCATGACTGTGTTTTGGCGCCTGACAGGAAGGAAGCCAAGCCAAAGCGAGGTAAACTCGGATTTACAACAGATAGTGTGTTTGTGTGTTTGTGTGTGTGTGTGTGTGTGTGTGTGTGTGTGTACACTAGCAAGTTATATTACAGACCGTGTTACAGTGTGTGAGCGGCAGGAGGCTGAAGGATCATTCAGGGAGTGCATCACTTACGTGTCATCTAGGTCCTCAACAAATGCAAGCACCGCTGAACTTAGGAAAACCGCTATAACTGTAATATTAAAACAAAAACAAAAACAAACAAGAGACATGAAATCAGACAGGGTACACGTTGGTGTTAATGTGAACAACAGCTTTACAGTCTGCTCTCCCCTCCAGCCTGAGACCTCATGACTGGAGCATCACCAGCTAAAGCTGCCGTCCCGGCTAACTGTGCATCTGTCCGCCTCACAGTTTCCACGGCGGCAGCTTTAATGGCCGCTTGAACAGACGTCCGTGATAACACCCGGGTTAACATTCAAAGGTACACGGTGTGAATAGAAAAGTGAACGTACCTCCAGAAATCAGGGAAGCCTTCACTTCTGCCATCGCTTCGAGTTGCAACAGCAAGCAGGAAATACAGCGGCTAAATCAGGTACTTCCGCGCATGCGCGAGAGGTTACGCAGCCTCCTCGACGCACTCGAGCACAAACAGCTGCATATTTTTCGGGGGGGATTTTATTTTGAAATTGAAAAATTAAGTGAAGATATTCTCTCTTTTAAATAATATAATTAGAAAAAATAAATAAATAATAAATAGAAATAAATAAAATTACTACAATTATTAAACCTACTTTTGGAATTATTTGTTTCTTTTTTTTTTAATAAAGTGAGAAGTCTGTGAAAATATTGCACAGATGTTATCTTGTTATTTCAGGTAAAAAATAAAAAATAAGTTAAATGTTGACCCTCCTTCTATCACAACACGGATGAAACTATAACTAACTTTGTGAAACTTTGTGGTTTGACCTTTACAGCTGTTTAAACAGACAATAGATAATCATCATTTCAAATCTAATTTATTTTATTTCGTATTTGTTACCGATTAAATGTCTGTCAAGAACATGCATGTCATTAATTCCATTTCTTTACAAGCAAAATTCAATTTACACCATGTAGCTACAGAATCTCATATCCTACCTGGACACACTGAAATACTGCACAAGCTCTAAAGCTGTGATCACTGCAGCCTTGTGTTATGTCATGAGTTTGATCTGCAATTTATTTTTATGTTACTTTATTTATCTTTTCCTTTTTATCTACTGTTTTGTCATTATTTCTACCTCAAATAGCATATATTGTGTATTGTGTGTATACTCAACAATAATAATACATTCACTTTGTTTGGAAATTGCTCCAGAGCGAAACAGACTTTAAGAAATTATCTGATAAACATGTTAATGAACCTCAATGTGTATTTATGTGCATTAATTATTATAGAGATACTGAGCTGATGATTACCAATACTCACCACAAGGTGGTGCTCTAAGATAATTAAAATGGGCAACAGACCAAACCATTCCCTGCCTGTAGTGGAAGCAGCATGTAGATCATTAAATTAAAAGCCACACTACTACTAATAATACTGTGTTTATATGATGCATATTCTTCTAAAAATCACTGTTTCAAATCAAAAGGTAAAATCCTCAGCAGCTAATTTTTGCTCATGAGCTACTCTACTTCCTGTTGAGAAGTTTAGTCTATATCAGTATATATCATATATACTACATGAGATAATGTTTTGTATTTAAAAAATTAATCAGCAAATTAACTCTATAGTTGTCGGATGAATGTGGTGAAGTAAATTAAGTGCAATATTTCCAACTGAAATGAAAGTATTAAAATATAAACTGAAAATACCTTGAAATTGTACTGAAATACAGTTAATTTATTCAGTTTTGTTCTACAACTTCAGACCAATAAGTGTGTTCCCATCATGCATTTCTCAGAAAAAGAAAACACCATGAAGATTTGTTTTTATTGAAAACGTATTTATTTGTTTTGAGAAGCTTCGAGAATAATAATTTGTATCTAATACTGTCTGAATATCTTTAAAGTTATCAAACATACACTTCATCTTCAACGTTTATAATTAAGGTCATCTTCGGTCGGTTCCTTCATTTACACGTCTACACACCAGATACATACATACGTGTTACAAGGCATAGAGCGGTTAGCTTCACAGGAGTGTGGCTGGAGTTTACACAATAAATAACAACCTATTGTGAATTATTATTTTCATATATTACCTGTCATATCTGAATCCTCACACCCCTGGCTGACAACGATGGGCATAGTGATATGTTTGAAACAAAAACAACTGAAACTGGAGTACCAGTGTTTTGTTACTCATTCCTGTCACTGCGCTGAATCAGCTGAGTACCATTTTAGTCATAACTTCATGGAAACTGTGGCAGAATATTTATAATGCACCGACTGCTTAAGCTCATGAAGGGCCTTGAGGCAGACGGAGGGGTGTCGATATTCTTTGATCTCCGAATACGAGCTCACAGGAAACATCAAGCGCCTCTTCGCAGAGTATGAAAATTTAAATGACAAATTCCAGTTTCCTTGTTACTGAATCATCTTAATCGATGCCTTCATGTGGCTGTTTTCTACAACAGAAAAACCTTTACATCCAGAGAATATCCATCAATGCAAGACGTCATTCTTGGAGAGAAGAGAGAAAAGAAAGAACCGCCCCCTCCCCGCCAGTACCGGCCCAGTATCCAAAAAAAGAGAGCATGAAATAGTTTCACGCCCTGAGAAAGAGCTGTACTTTCTCACGGGGTGAATAGTGATCATGACTGTGTTACTAAATAGACTCATGCGGAGGACCGTCCTGTTGGAGTCTTGTGTGCCAAGTTTGTGAGGGTTGAATGCCTTTGTGTTAAGAAGGGCAGAAAACTGGACACAAGCTGTTAGCCCACATTGTAAGACGGTGAATGCAACCTCTGCATCGACAGGAGCGTCAAAACAATGCGTGCAGACGGACTTCCATACATTTAACCCTACACACACACACAAAAAAATGTATTTTCTGCATTTCAGTTGCACTCACAACCCGTGCAGCGCTGCACCGAGCTCCACGGTTTTAGATGCAGAAGTGAAAGCAGCCTCCTCACTGTGGGAGGGACCCAGAAAACATACAAAAGGCATGCATTTTAATCAAGTGTTTTCCTATACACAGTACAGCCATGTTGTTTTTCTTCTTTAGAAAAAGAGAGGACTTGTATCCCCCCTCTCTCTCTCTCTCTCTCTCTCTCTCTCTCCAACCATCGCAGGCCAAGCTGCAGACTCCCACGTTCACTGTAGTCAGCTGTCTGACTGAACCCACTCACGTCATCTTACAGGACGGGGTCAGATGTGACCTCAGTTGACCCATAAAACAAAACAAAGCTTTCTTTGCCCCATTTTATCACTCATCAGATGGCGACAATAGCGGTGAGATGATTCAGTTATCCACATAATGGCAGCACTCATTCTCTGCTCAGACACATCAAATTATTTGTTTATACACATTAAAAACAAGCAACAATACCAGCTACACTATTTACACATATTGCATTCTACATTTATTTAAGGAACAAAATCTCACCAACATCCAAAAAGGCAGCATTGAGCTCTCACTTTGGAAAGACTGTGTTGTAACAGGATGATAATGGCACTTCATATTTCTTTTACGTTCTTGAAATTGATAGTTGAACCAAGCGAAACAGAAGCACATATCTTTAACTGTGAAAAATGTTTCTGTAGCTTAAACTGTAAATTAATTTAACAGCAGCTTTAAGTCACTATTTGTTTAACCTTAAATTCAAATTCCTATGATTTCTATTCATTTAGCTTGGAGGCAGCTAAACCTTCTCATGAGAACGCATCACGTCCAGTTTCACCTGGATCTCGGAGCTCTCTCATGCCGAAGAAGCTACGTCTTTTATCACAGCAACAAATCGGAGTTATAAGCTTGAACACGAAAAAACAAAAAGAAATCCCTAAATGCTGGTGTAAATTGCACCATAAACAAAGCTCATACACAAAGCTTCACTCCTGCATTCCCACAGCAAACAAAACACCAGTGGAAGGGAAGCAGTTTAAAGATGCATCCGATGCTATGATCGAGGTCCACCGGTGAAACTGGCTGCGCACGGTTAAACACTAAAGATAAAGAAAGAGTGCTGGTAACTTCAGCAGAGTTATGAGTAACAGTGACCGGTCCAATGCGGTTTGGTTCCTTTCCAAATTTCAGCCGACGTGCGGTCCTCACAGGTTGCATCACATCACCTGAAATCCTTCTAATAGTCAGTCTGAAGACTCTTGTCCTGATTTGTTTTTAAATAAGGCTCTGGATGAGGCACACCGGTGACGTCACAGAAAATGGCAAAAAATAAAATAAAGTGTTGCTGCCGTCGCGTTCTGTCAGTATTTCGGTGCGTACTGTGTGCACCTGCCCGACTCCGACGTGAGCTAGAAAACTTTAAGCAACTCTTGAGGATGCTACGCTAAGCGGCAGCGTTAACTCGGAGCGGCTGCGCGCGGCGACAGCGTCGACCGTCCGTTGGCAAAAAAAAAAACGTCTTGTGGGTGAAAAATCCCTCTGTCACTCCAGGATGTCGGTTTCAAACGGGACCAGGTGGTAGTAGGAAAGGTTGGTGACATACGCTTCTGTTTCTTCGTCGCACACGTCTGCTTCCATTGGCAGAAACTCTGTTCCGTCCTCATACCTGACAACAGAACGACAGACACATTACTGCAGGGACAGGAAGCACCCATGTAGTCTAACCCAGGAATCAAATCTTTGATGCCTTTTATCTAAAGCCCCGTGTTAGCTGTCTACATCCTTTTTACTAGTACAAGGTAAGAGCATTGCATCAGTAAAAATGTCAGCGATGTAAAGTTTTGTTTTGTGTGAAGACCCGAGAGGAATGTGTTCCTCTTTTGTTTCCTACACACACCCAGGGAAGGAAGAGGTGCATAGACACACTTCCTGTGGTGCATAAAGAGGAGGGTGGAGGGTCACAGGGTGAGTTCACACTCAATGGCCTCTTCCCCCCGGCCGAAGCACTTAAAGAGCAAATGTAGAAATCCTTACGTACGTAGTAAACAAGCGAAGAATCTGTGCAAACTTGACTCCATCTTCAGGTTCTGACCTAAGCTTCATGGCATCAAACGCTGGAACACCGGGGGGCGATTTTAACACTTACGTATGTTCCACAGAGTCAGTGGACGAAGGTCTCTCCTTTTCTTCAGGGATATTGTGATCGAACACGATGGTCTCCGTGTTGGCCAGACAGAATCCGTTGGACCGCATGATTTCTGAAAGGTACAACGTCACATCACCTGTTGAGTCGCCACGACGCCCCTAACGTCTCCGTCTTTGTGCAACGAAAAGGAAAGAAACACAGAGACGTCGTACCTGATATCTTGATCGGACTCTGAAAGCACGGCTGGATTCTGTGGACCTTGTCGTTCCTCAGCACCTGGTCCAGCGGCGACCGCTCGAAGAACGTCAACATCACCTCTGACCTGGAATACTGCGGAGAGAGGATTATGGGGGATTTAGTTGCAGGTTTCCCCAACATCCACCTTTCGGGCCCCCGGTAAAAACTTATTTGCAGTTGAATGTCGTACCTTGCACGGCATGTTGATGGCATTCTTCAGTAGTCTCTCCACCTCGTTCAGTTTCTCCTCAATGTCGTGTGCCTCTTTGATTTTTACCAGCCCTGAAACAAACAAATAAATACAGTACAGACATTTTAATAATTTGGTTTAATAAAATAAAATGCAGAATTAATGACCAACACATTAAACCCATTACTTTGTGTTTAGTGCTAATTAAGCAAATGTTAGCATGTTAAAATGCTAAACTACAACAAGGAACCAATTAATATCATACCTGCTGAATATCAACGCGTTAGCATCATCATTGCGAACATATTAGCATGCTGTTGTTAGCATTTAGCTATGCCTGTTTCTATACATTTTCAATAAAAAAAAATGTAATTAATTAACTAATTAAAACTTAAAAATGCCAAGAAATGCATCCTTCTTTTCCTGGACAAAGAAGGATCCTTCAGGTGGATCCGTCGTGGCCGAACCTTTCCCACAATTCATTGCACGCCGGTTAATGAAAATAATATGGCAGCAAACAACACCGTCAGAGAGGCTGAGGATCACACTGTTAAATGTAAGTATGATGTTTCAGCTCGGTTCATCTGTTAAAACCGAGGACTCTAAAACCTCACGTTTTTGTGACAAGGGCCTTGCGTCGCAAAGGGCGGGGGGGGGTTCGGCCTTCGTAGACCCAGACTGAGGATGCTGCCCCTGAATTGGCAAACAGCTTTTGAGACCAATGTTGAAAGAAAGTTTCCCACAATTTAAATGTTAACTGTAACTATTTCTGTACCTGGATGATAAAAAAAAGCTGCTTTGACCTTTGCTGCCAACAGACTATTATCCACCCATAGGTCAGGACTCACAGCCGGACAGGCTCGTATTTATCTCAAGTTTGGAAAAAGGTTGCTACGAATGCAAGAGAAAAGGTGGTAGTCTATTAAATACAGTAACCTTTTTTATTAACAATGCACCCTGATATTTACCCCAAGACAGTAGAGGGAGGCAAAAAAATAGACTGCTTATCACTGTCTGCACAGGGCACAGTATAACGTGATACTGTCAAACTGCCGGTGTTGGTACAAGAGGAGTAATGGCAGAGTAGAGAAGCTCCACACAACGGCGTCTGTGATAACGCGTTAATCCTGCATAAAACCAGGAGCGTAATTTAAGAGGTAGTGGGAGTGTGAAATCAGCACTTTTAGCAAGAAGGCCTGCGAGGCTGCCGCCCATGTGAGTCAGCAGTCGGCATCATTTACCGCCCTGCTGACAAAGGGCTGCGCCGAGGAGAATAATGATGGAGGCTGCAGCCGCGCTGATGAGCCTCTGTCTGATGTAAGCGCTACAGATGAAACGTAGTCACACAGCGGTTTCGGTTGCTCTGAGTAAGAGCGCCTGAAGCAACACGACGCACACAGTCACAAGCTCATCCATTTATAATGGTCCCACAGTCATGACATCATACCCACGGGGATGTGAAAGAGTGATTGGGTAGTTATATCATCACTAGGAGCCCGCCCAAGTCTGAACCTCACACCGCCTCCGGGTGCTCTTCTTCAAGACACGACGCCGGTGTAACTATTTTATTTATTCGTCTCCGGCCCTGGATGTCAAACTTCACCACAGACAGAACCCACACTCAGTCTCGTCAGTTGTTCCTCTTGTAAACAGTTTAGTGAAGTTCATCCACTCTTCCTGCCATGTAGGTTGCTTATGTAATGGATCAAGTGCAAACCAGCGCACATTATTTATCGGCTGTAGACACACAAGACATCCAGGGTGGGTTTAGGAAGAATGTATAATAAAATATAATCAGAGGTTTTTGTGTTTGGAGCTGGTAACAATCATAGGAAGCCAAATATACAACAGGCTGTGTCTCCACTTATTACTGAAAGTTCAGTTACTGTGTCTTTGTGCGAGGAGAATTTTATTTGGAATTAAACTGATCATACGTTTTTACGTTTTACCATTAAATATAGTGCAACGGGCCTGTTTAATATGAAACAGAGAAACATGTGGAGTTATTTTTGCAACAGTTTGGTGCTGGTTGTGCAAGATTTAATCGCGTTAACCACAGTAGATGTGACATGTAGACGGATGCGCATATCTCTCGATTAGAGGCTGCACATTCAATACGTACTCGTTGCCATCGCATGGATGCTACAAGGATGTTAATCAGCTGAGAGACTCTCATGTACACAAGCTGCTGAAAAACAGCAAGCTGGGGCGATTTCAGAGAGCTCCACATGCGAGGCGCCTCCTCGCTAATTAGTTTTGGAAATAGCACAGAACGTGTGCGAGTGTGTGTCGCAGACGGGCAGCAACAGAATGCAATCAATCCAGACTCCAAAATTGCAGGGCTCCACCGGATTGCTACTGACACTCCACTCTTACTGCAGCTCCCCTCCCACTGTGGCACACAGGGAATCGCCCAAATACAAAATAAATACAGACAACGAAAGAAAAAATAAACCCACCATGCCTTAGGGTATTACTCCTGAGCCACTGCACACCGTGAATTTCATCTCAAAAACTACAGAGTACTCATCTGTGTGTATCTAATCTCTGATTTGCTGTGTTTGTTACAATTACAGGGTGGTTCTCTGGAAAATGTCTTCATATAAACTGAGACTATTTCCTGCATGGGCTTCCTGGCTACAGTGGTCCTTGTGTTGTTAATAATTAATCTACGTTTTCAACATTTATCTACCTGATGCAGCAAGATGGTTAAATCTCACAAATGACAGTAATTACACACACGCCAGATGACATTTAGTGTATGATCCTGCCTCATAGGTTTGATTTTGTTTTTTGTTGCAATTACATGCTAAAGTTAACCATCTGTTAGTTCTCTGACAGTTTGCCATGTTGGCAGGCCCCTCTGTTTACTGTATTAGCTGAAATAACACAGTTACAAGTAGGTTTACAATAGGAACTGCGCTGTGTTCAAGTCATCCTCAAACACGCTGTCATAACAGTCATCAGATGTTGTAAGCAACAGCTATCTTCTGCATGGATCTGATAAGCGCATGTCGACAGCGTAACACTTTATCTCCTAACCACTAGCTCGCCGCAGCTACGCCACCATGTTATTTCTGGATGCCTCAGTCAAACATCAAAATTCAGTAATCCTGTGTACGAGTACCAGTATTGTCTGTGAAGGCGTATTGAAGTCGCTACCTACCTAGTGCACTATATTCCCTACTTAGTACACTATATTTATTAACTACTGCACTATATTTATTAACTAGTGCATTATATTTATTAACTAGTGCACTATATTTATTATCTAGTGCACTATATTCCCTACCTAGTGCACTATATTTCCTACCTAGTGCATAATATTTATTAACTAGTGCACTATATTCCCTACCTAGTGCACTATATTTCCTACCTAGTGCACTATATTTCCTACCTAGTGCATTATATTTATTAACTAGTGCACTATATTCCCTACCTAGTGCACTATATTTCCTACCTAGTGCACTATATTTCCTACCTAGTGCATAATATTTATTATCTAGTGCACTATATTTCCTACCTTGTGCATAATATTTCCTACCTAGTGCACTGTATTCCCTACCTAGTGCACTATATTAATTAACTAGTGCACTATATTTCCTACTTAGTGCATTATATTTATTATCTAGTGCACTATATTTCTTACCTAGTGCACTATATTTCCTACCTAGTGCACTATATTTCCTACCTAGTGCATAATATTTATTAACTAGTGCACTATATTCCCTACCTAGTGCACTATATTTCCTACCTAGTGCACTATATTTCCTACCTAGTGCATAATATTTATTATCTAGTGCACTATATTTCCTACCTTGTGCATAATATTTCCTACCTAGTGCACTGTATTCCCTACCTAGTGCACTATATTAATTAACTAGTGCACTATATTTCCTACTTAGTGCATTATATTTATTATCTAGTGCACTATATTTTTTACCTAGTGCACTATATTTCCTACCTAGTGTACTATGTTTCCTACCTAATGCACTATATTTACTAGCGCTTCACTATATTTCCTCAATTACATATCTTTCTCTGACTTACATAACCAGTATCTAAACTCAAATATCAAAACACATTTAAAGTTTTCATCGTTCTCAAAACTCTTAAACTGAGCCTCACTGTGACTCACCCTTATCTCAAGTTTAAAGGAACAGTTCACTCAGAGTTAGAAGAGAATACATTTAAAACTTGAATTACTTAACAGCTAAAGGAATTAGTAAAATGACTTGTAACTCAGGCCAGCTCTGTCTCCACACCCACACATCACATATTCTGTATATAACAGAAAAAAGATGATTATGTTGTAGAGCATATACGCCGCCATGACAACCACTGGTAGACGTTCCTCTCATGCACTCGCCTTGACTCGCCCCACCCCACTGACATCACACGTCCCTGTCCGGTCTTTCCACTGAACGCTCAGAGACCAAATATATGTTCATAAAAAAACCCCAAAACAAAAAAAGTTCCCATGATCCAATGCTTCTCCTTTCATAGATGATGACCAACCAACATGGTGACTGACATGAAGACGTGTAAGTGGGAGTTTTCAGACGCAGCCTGCATCTACATTCCCCGGTGGTATCTGGTTTGCATGGAATGTGAGCAATCACTTCCTGTCAGTGTTCACTCTGAGGTCACATGTCAGGTAAGTGTTATGAGGCTTTCACAGACCACAGGGACTAAATATGGGAAGTTCATCTCACTCCCAGCTCCCCTCTGTCATCATGACATAAGTCTGAACGCTCTGCACGCCCCCTCTGTTGCCCGGGTGCAGCGGAGAAACAGGAAAACATGAGCAGAGCCAGAAACTGGAGCAAAGTGGACTGAGAAAGGCCAAAGCTTCGGTTTGTCTCAGGACTCTCACTCTGAGGAAATCAGAAGAGATGCAAATGAAATATTGAACAGAGGAACGAATTAAGGAAAGGCCAAAAGGGGGATTGTTATTGACCCTGTGGCTTGATATCAATCAATCAATGAAATTGTCAAACCAGCTTGAGTCACCACTGCAGACACACTGACATCTGCCTCAGCACTGATATCACCGCCCCATTTATCTCTGAGCTGTAGTGAGGATATGAACAATGACAGACAGTTAAAAAATAGAAAAAAAAGAAGTGAAAAAGTGAGTCATGAGCTCTGAAATGTCTCTTCCCAAAATGCAGTGCACGCTGCACTGGCAGAGGCAAAGCGAGCGAGCGAGCTGTCAACAAATCCGTCAGCTATTTTCAGTGTCTGGGCAGGAAGCTGAGCTTTCCAGTCCCCACTAAAGGGATGTTTCCAAAACATTCATATAGGCTCAGTGGGTAGAAACAAAAGGGCAGTGCCAAGGAGACTGAGTGGGGATATCACACACACACACACACACACACACACACACACACACACACACACACACACACAGAAAAAGCTGGGAGCACTGCCAATCCAACTGGCAACGCAAGGGCACCACGGTGTCGGGTCGGTATCTGACAGAACACGGCCCTCTTAAATCAGCTGGCATCAGCAGATGATGATGATGATGATGATGATGATGATGAATCACAACCTTTCAGATCGTCAGTGACGTTTCGTACTGCTACTTGCATGAAGGAATAAAAATTATGCTTCAGTTTCAGATCTGTAAAGAATCACACATCACCAAATTCATTGATTGATTCTTTGTCGGAGAGCGATGTGACGCCGATAACCGTGACGCTTGCACAGCGCAAACAACCTTCGCCTCACTGCTGGGTATCTATGAATGTTTCTGCCGTGACCCAGTAACATCCACCTACTGTTCCCTAAAGAGGTCCGATGAAGTAGTTCTGGTGCATTCCCAAAACGGTGACCTCGCTGACCTTTCAGATCACACAATCTCTCAGGTCCTAAATATTGACGAAGGATTTGGAAACCATGTGAACGTGGACTTTTGTTAATTATTAAGCTGTCCAAACAAAAGCATGTAAATCCAGGCTCTGAAGCGGCTGTGGTCAGATTGACCCTTAAAACCTTATTGATTATGTTTAGCTACACGTTTTCCTGTTTTCATTTAACTTCCTTAAAACACCATAAGTTACACCATCTTAGATCTTAGGTTACGAGTTATTATGTGATGCCCAGTTGTGCTGTCCGTACAACACCCAACACTAAAAGTATCTGGCGAGAAATTGCACATTTAGAAATGTTTTACAGTTCTGCTTCACGCAGCTGTTCTGGAAACAGGATCTGATTGTAATCCAGACAAAAAAAAAACAATCTAAACAACAGCTGTCTCAGGCAAAAATGTAAACAGGATTATCATTTTGCAGGAGTTTTCCTGTGGCGAGCAGAAGCAAAGTCCCCCCCCCGAATACTGATTTGCAAAAGCTGAACTTTCCAATGAGTCCAAAACAGTGATCAGCACTGAAACAGCAGCTGTGTCGAGAGTGGGAAAGGAGTTTAAAGATGACATGAAACTAGTTGTTGTGGACAGAAACTTAATCACCAATAATTTAACTTTTTCTTTTTTGTTATAGTGTAAAAGTCTGCAAGATAAATGTGAGGATTTACTGGTTTTCTTCATGTTTTATCATTGGAAACTGAAGTTTTGGGGGTTGTTGTTGTCAGGCATTTTCTCTATTTCTGACTTTTTTTTTTAATAAACAAATTATTGATCAGGAATTAAAACAATTATTATTACAGAAGGGGGTGGGGGTGGGGTGGGGTCCTAAATCCTGTGCATATGGTCCCATAATGTGTAGCTAAGCCCCTGATCATAATTTAAATATCATTTGTGAAACTGTTTAATGCTCTATCACCACTTCCGGTCACATTAGTGTCACATTCTATTGTTTCCCCTCATACCAACCTTCTATCAGTGGAGACTTGGAGAGGTCTCTTCTGTCCTCAGGGAAGGACTCTACAAGTCTTTTAAAGAGCCGACCCAGGTCGGAGTAACTCCGGTGCAAGTATAAAATGTTCCTGTCCGACCACTCGGTCCGGATCTCGAAGAACTCCTCTTCCTCCCCCCGCTGGCTGATGATGAGCCTCCGGATCCCGTTGACCCAGCAGTCCCGGACAAACATGTTGACCAGCGACGTGCCTTCAAACACAGCCGATGCCATTCCTCAGACGTCAGCCCAGCATGCTGGGGCGGGCCGGGGGAGGGTGGTGGCGGCGGTGGCGGTGGTGGTGGGTCTCAGGACCGAAGGAGTCAACGCCGCAGGAATGTGGAAGAATAAAAGAAAATGCGGCGGATGAGGAAAGAAAACTTGGACAACTTTTCGGCGCGTCGTCTCTCGGCGGTCTGTGAGCGGCGCGTGAGAGCGGGAGGAGGATGATCATTGCGTCTGCTCAGCTCATCACAGGCGTAATCTCAACGTGGCATGATTTAGAAAAAAAAAAAAAGAGAAAAAAATAGACTTTAGAGTCAAAGATAACACCCCTCCCCCCCTCCCCCCTGCAAAATGTATAAGTTTATTTTTTCCGACTTCATCAGTAAAAAAAAAAGTGCAAAAGATTTAAAAGAAATAAAAATAAAGCTCCATGATATTGTTTGATCTGTGAAATCAAAGCGCTGCTCCCTTGTCTCGTCTGTTTCCGAAATCCTGAAGCTTTTCACTTCACACTGTCTGGGGAAGCAGTTTTCTTTCAGCACAGTTTCCTCCCCTCTCCTCTGCGTCCTCCCTCCTTCCTTCCTTCCTCCCTCCTTGACAACAGAGGAGCCTATTATTATGCAAAGAGCCGCAAAAACAAAACTGTCCCATCTCCTGATTTATAATCAGGAGAAGGAGAGAAAAAAAAGTTATTTGAACCTTTTTTCTCTTTATTCCTTCAGCTGCATTTGATGCCACGTCTTCCTCAAATCACTTAATCTTGAAATGAGATGTTTGGGGGGAAAATAAAAAAACCCACAAGAAAATATTTGAAGAAGAGGCCAATAAATGAAATGCATCAGTTTTATTTGCAGGATTTGCAGTTTCTGACCTCATATAACTCAAGTCGACACACAAATACTATTATAGCCAAATGTTAGCCACAGTGAAAAAGATGCACTGTTATTTGTCTCCTTGTCAGAGTGACTGATTTGTTCTGCATAGCTCCATTGAGCAGCACGCTAATGTTTCCCTTGAGTGCAGAGGCAGAGACCAGTAAAAGCGTTTTACAGGAAGCCACGGCCATGTCAAGTAATGACGATTCAGCTGTAATTAACTCGTGCACTGTGGGAGAAGGACTGTTCTGGTAAAAGCAATTCATGACAATGCGGCACAGGAAGTATCATGCCAAAACTGTAAAACACATGCGCACAAATGCACACATGTGGTAAGAGGGCCGTATGAATGCAGGAAAATCTGTGCATAAAACTGGAAGTGGTGCAGCTGAGATGAGAGAGAGCAATCCAGCTCTAATGGGCACATTATGTTTTACGACACAGAGCAGATTGTAGGTGTGAAAGTCTGCCTTCGTGCCCCCCTTTTGAGCTCGCAAGTGCACCTCAGTGAGCGTTTCAGGCTCACCGTGGCAAAAGTGAATGCTCTGAATAAGGGAATGGAGCCAGTCAGGAAAATATAAAGTTTCAATTTGCCACGTTTAAGCTGCCCGGAGAGATTCCCTTTTAATGTTTGACGGTTTTATATTCAGCTGTTTCATTGTTCCTCGGTGCCAACATCGCTTCTGTCTGCACAGAAAAGATGCTGCTGCTACGACACAGACAGGGAAATATTCTGGAGTAAGTGAGGGATTCTTGTCTAGAAATGTAAACCACTCACTGAAGCTAAGTGATTTCACAAGAGATTAGATAAAGATATTCCTTTATTAGTCCCACACTGGGGAAATTTGCATTGACAGTACGAGAAAGAAAAACTGCAAAATGCCGGTAAGAAATACTGAGAAAGATAAATAATTGATAATAATATAATATATATACGAAACATTTACATTTAAATGAAAATAAATTTGAATCCATATACATCACAGTGGACCCTTGGAAAATGAAAACCAGGCAGAGCAGCCAGCATGTTCGAGTTGCTCCTTCTCTCATGGTGGCGACTGGTTTTCAAAATGCAGATGAGATAAACAGTGTGATGGAAGAACTACATCTTACTTCTGGAGTAAGATGCTAATAGAAAACAGGCTTTTGTAGAAGGTAAATTAATCACATTTCCACATTCAGCTTTGTGGTATTTGAAATCACCTGTCATCCCCTTGACCACACCCAGAAGTTACGTAGCTCCGCCCATCCGTCTGTGAAGCCCTTTTCCCTCCAAACCAGGAGAACAAAGACAACCAGGAACCAGTGAGTTGGACTTTTCGAACCTTCACTATAGAACTCGAGGATGAAGTGATTAGAATTTGGAGGTCAAAGGTCAAAGGTCAAAGGTCATGGTGGTGACCTCACGAAACACCTCGACGGAACGTCTTCAAATTTGGCACAAACATTCACTTGGACTCGAGGGGCGAGCTGCTTATATTTTGTTGGCTAAAGGTCAAAGGTCAAAGGTCACGGTGACAAATGGTTAATATTTTTTTACATGACTCTGGATAAACAGGGATGTAACCTGAAACTAGTCTGAGTGGCGGAGGGATACGACCACGAGGAGGTGATTCTAAGTTTCAGTCAGATTATCCTTTAATGACAGAGCTGATGTTCTTACCAACATCAGGCCGATTCCAGAGAATGAAGAGGCGAGAGGAAGATTCAGGAACCCGGTTAGCCGATCAACCAGACAGCCAAACCTTTGAAAAACAATGAAGTACGGCCTACACTGTGAAAGAATCCGTTTCTTAGACTTAGTTTCTGACACTGTGGTGCAGTTTGTTTGTTTTCCAAGTGTGTGTGTGTGTGTGTGTGTGTGTGTGTGTGTGCTGCACATCTCATTTTAAGCATGAATGATCAGAGATGATTATGTTACATGGAGAGACCGCATCAGTGTTATCAGAAAGCCCCTTCTCCCCTTGTGTAATAACAGGATCTGTCTGTTTTGAGCAGCAGGGCTTCAATCTGTGGTTAGGCCACATTCACAGAGTCAGCACATTCTGCCTCGGTACCTCATTCCAGTGTAATTCCTCTGAAAGAGTCGACTTTAAATGGAAAAATAGACTTTCGCCCGCTCATCCTTAAAGCCCCTTCCCATGCACAACCTAAGCACATTTGTCTCCCATTACAACAGAGGCGATGCCAAAGCCGAGTGAGAGAGCAGCAGGAAATGTTAAGAGTTGGTTTGAGGAATAAAAGACCCAATGTGTCACCAGATGGAGGCGGATAGACGGACAGTTTGTTTGTGCGCTCCATACTTTTAATGGACTAATCTTGGATTAGCAACTGACTTTAGGTTTGAAATAAGAATTTGGATTTGTTTTAGCGAAAGGATTCATTCGGGATTTGCTCAAGTGAGACTTAAAGGGAAAGTTTTACATTTTGGGGAAATGTGCTTATTTGCGTTGTTTCCGAGAGTTAAACAAAGATTTGAACCGCGCTCACATGACTGCGTTAAACATGAAGCTGGAGCCAGGAGACAGTTAGTGTACCGGCAGCATCATACTGGACCTAATGTTGTTATGGTTACAATAATAACGGGAACAGTGAATGACATAAATAGTGTTGACTGTTGCTTTCAGACAGGAAGCAAAAAGCACCTTTGCTCACATGATAACATTTGTTTTACAGGAGGAGAGTTGGTAAAGCTTAAGGAAAGATCGTGGTCCGGGTCAATGCAGAAGAAGTCCACACTGACTTCCAACACTGTGCGGTTAATGAAATTTGTTGCCTAAACCGAACTACAGAAACATACTTTTTGCTCTAGTTTGGTTGTAAACCTTATTTCGAGAAGACGGCAGCAAGAAGTTTTGGAAATGCGGGGTTCACGTTGTCTGTCTTGTGACCTGGGAGGTGGACCTACAGCACAGCTATCAAGGGTAACATTTAGAGCCTTGATTATCACCTGAGTAAACTTTTACACCCATATTTAACTATGCAGAGAGGAGGGGAACTACTTTCTGCAGCTCCTGTTGTCTAATTTGTCACTCCCTGACAACCGGTCTCTAAACCGCCACACCCTGAACCTGAGGTCTCTAATCACCCTCCAAATGATGAGCCCAGCCTTCCCTCGAACTAAAAGACCTGCTGTGGATTTCTTCACTAAAAAATCACCTGTGATGACTGCAGTGGGATCATCTCCAGTTTCAAAGCTACTCTGCTCCAGCTGCTCACAAGCCGGGCCGACATAAACCTTCTTCTTCATCCCTTCCGTTGATGCGCACGTAAATTTCACCCTCCGACAAGGCCGTATGCTCGGGGCATAGTTTCAAACCCGGCTCCTTTACCCTTGTAAATCCTATGCCAGCTTTTATTCTCTCGGAAAAACCAAACACGAGAAGCTCATAAAGCAAAAAGGGTTTCGGAAAACAAAGAGAAAACATAAAGATGTACGCAGCTGTCGGAGGACAAAGAACATCTGCGCTGATGGAAGCAGGCGGTCCGTTTTTTCATTGAGAGGCATTGTGAGCTTCACTTGGAGGAAGTCGTTCTGAGCCATAACTCTGTCTTTATTCACACCAGAAGACAAAACCCAGTGAGGAGAGCAGGGGCCGGGGTGACGGTGGGTTAGCGGACTGCCTGAGTGTTTTTAACAGGCCGTATAATGGACTGTGGCTGTCTTTGCTGAGCATCTGTTGGACCTTCTTGTTTTACGCCCCCCCCCCCGTCCTTATTGTGTCACCAGTGAAGCTCGGAGGCTTGAAGAGTCGAGACGGACCTGACGCACGTCTGTTTGCTTTATTTCCTCACTATGGAAATCCAGGTTCCAGCTACAGAGGCCATAACTCAGATCTGCAGGTTTGAAGCATCGAGGGGAGACCAGAGCAGAGATTACCCCCCCCCCCCCCCCCCCCCCCCCCCCCCCCCCCCTCACTCAACAGGATCGTCGTCGCCACAAGACGCATTTTTATTAATTTATTTACAATTATAGTAGAAATTATGGAGTCGAAGGAAAAGTAATAAAGCATTTCCTGAATTCCATATTTTAATAGGCAGAATTTATAAATGAACTATTAATCCATCAATAAATACAAACAGTATAAAACTCTGATTAGATAAACCATTTAGAAATACATTTATTAATTCATGAATAATTAACTGAATTTGAAAAACTACTTTGAAAAGGCATTTTAATAATAGGATCCCCTCTTCAATTTCCATTTCCTTTTTCCAGCTGCTAATCGATTAGCTTAGTCATTTAGCTTCTCCATTTAACCTGTCTGTGACAAACCCACCTGGTTAACTGTCCAACCAATCAGAGAGCTTGTTGCATCCCACAGCTAATTGGGAGAACACCTGTTCTCCTTCTCAATCCAGCAAAGTAAAGACAATTACAAAGCATTTTCATTTTTATACACTCAAATAAAAATTTAAAAGCTGTTGACAGTTCATTTTAAAAGACTTAACCTGATCTACAGTGACAATATTCAAATACAATAAGCAAACAGCACCTACAGTCCATTGCATTTTCAATTACATGTCACTTTGCTCTTTAGGGATCAAAATGAAAATGTGATCTGTCAGTCCTCTTCATGGAGGCAGGTCATCAGTCAGGACGCCGCTTCCTTGTCACTTGTCGTCTGGAGTCAGTTGCAGCGGCTTGTTTTTACCGACACGCTTCATCTTTATAACCACATGGAGCATTATCGCCACCTACTGTTGAACTTTAGACTCTTTATGTTCTTGTTTTCAATGCAGTGTCTTTTAGGTAAATAAAAGTAAGATGCAAAATACCATTCCCAGGATTGTTTATAAAGACCATGTGTTTGATCCTTTCTGGTTCCAACTGAATCTTTAATAGGTTCCTCTCTCATTTTCAACCTACGTTCCACCACAGTCTCTTTTTTGTTGCAGATGTCACAGTTTCCAGATGGATGTAACGACCACTTCAGTTTGGTGTGATTTTATCTTATTCTACTTATCAAGCTCTTTTCCAC